TAGGAGGCTGAGGCAGGAGGATTGTGAGTCCAAAACTAGCCTCAGCAACTCAGTGAGACCCTGTCTCTAAATAAAAATATTAAAAAGGGCTGGGATGTGGCTCAATGGTTAAGTGTCCCTGGGTTCAATCCCCAGAAAAACAAAAACAAAAAAACTTTACCTAGTTTATCATGCCCTCCCAATCCCTGCCTTAAAACCTCATAAAAAATTTCATTATTGGCTTGTAAGTGGGATTTTGGTTTTGATTGATTAAATGCTTAGAAATGAGTTTTGGCTACTTAGTGTTTATAATCATTTTTATCAAGTGAAAAATAGTGGCACTAAACCTTGATTCTTTTTCACAGGATGGAGTCCTGGTGGATGAATTTGGATTGCCACAGATACCTGCTTCATAGACTTTCATCATTCAAGTACACATGTAAAATAAACACATATTGTGGGACTAGGAAATATATCCAGATTTTCCATAACAGATTTAAGTTCCTTTCCCTTCTTTGAAGGAAAGGTTAATTACACTGCTCTTTTATTTTTTTTCCGTTAAGAAATTCATTGTTTGGGGAAGCTTTCTTATACTAAAATTTGATTCTTTTTCTCTTATGAAAGATTAACTTAAAAGTATCTTTGGCTTTTGTATGAGTCATTTTCACTCATTAATAACAATTTGAAATAAAACCAAGGATATAAAATCTTAAATTTTGTGACAGTATAACTCGACAGTCTCAATATGACCTGATAAATTGATGAAGTGAAGATGAGATTATTGAGACTGTTCATATTATGATTCAAAACCATTTTCTATTGTGGCATATAGGTGGCTCAAAGTAATGGCTCTTTTGATAGGTTTTGTTGTGTCTTGTGAGCAAATCATGTGTCTAGTGTTGGAATGGAATTGTTGCTACAGTATCACAAGTGGATATTTTGACTTTGTCGTTCCCTCAGTATTACAGCCTGACTTGTAATCAATAATGAATATTTCTTGATATTTAATGTATAGGACATTTATTTATACTCAATAAATATTTTTCAAAAGGATATAATTTCAATATCACTTCAGCCTAAGGGCTCCACTACAGAAACCAAATTTAATCAATAGCATTGTGGTACAGAGATAAGAGCAATGGCCGTGGGTATACTATCTGCTACCTACTAAGTCTACTTGACTTCTGTAAATTTCTATTTCCTTATTAGTAAAATTGTGCTTAATTGAGATAATGGTCATAACTACTCTGTTAACTGCAGTGTGCTATATTCTCATATGAGGGATTATTAATAATTAAAAAAAAAGTGGGGGCTTCATTCTTTTCTTACAGGGTGCCTGGAGTGCTATGGCAAGTCCAAATCCTGCCTGATTTTAGAGTCTTTAACAATCCTTCCTCACTCAACCTCTCACCAACAGCATTTCCCCTCTAGTATGACTGGGTACACAGTGCCATGTGTACCAATCTTTTACATGTCTGTAGATCAAACTAATAAACATTTATTGAACACTAGTTCTATAGAAATCTCTATGCCAGCACAAGTAATACTAAAACCAGTCAGTACCTCTCTTCAAAAGTTCACTGTTAGTTATAGGTAGGGACAAAACATTTATGTAACTCTCCTACTCCCACTGATCTCACACTCTTAAGAAGTCTCCACTGGGAGCAAACATTACAATATTCATTATTACTTTCTTGAGATCTTTCTTGGCTTCTCTGAGTTCTCCTCTGGACACTTATTCTCTTCAATGGACTTCTCTTTCTCAGCCCCTTAAATATTTCTTCCATTATAATTCCAATCTATACTTGTTAAGAATGTCAGGATGCCAAAGAAATCAGACATGTACCCAAAAATTAGTTAGCAAGGTAAATTTTACTTCTGCAGAAGGTGTGCTACCAAAATTTCTGACAAACAAGCACACGAGGCAAGAAGTCTGCCTAGGTTATTATCCCTAATGCAGCACTGCCTCTTGATCTGATAGGAGGTTGGAGTTATAATCTACATGATTGACTAATTTTTAATTGGGGAGGGGAAGGGGAAAGGCTATAGTTATGATTGGATCACCTACTATACTAGAGGCATTGTAATCTGAAGACAAAAGACAAAGGGAAATTTGATGGCAGGGCTCAAAATGGCTACATTTCAATCACATTTTAGATTACTGCCAACACATTTTTGTTACATATTAGGAAACTCAGACTTTAGGTTTAACTTTGACAGAAAAGAATATCAATCGTAAATACTCTTTGAGAATTTTCACCTAGATTTCAACTCTAACTGTCACTAACCTTGATTTCTTATTTTCGATTCTGGGCTTGTTCATTTAAATCCTCCACACAACAACCAAATTAAGCTCATTGTCTTAGGGTTCACTCTTAGAAAACATTCCTCCTTTATTCCTTGTCATGCTTATGTTAGCCAAATCCCATTGTCTTAATCTGTTTTCTGCTATAACAAGATACCACAGACTGGATAAAATTATAAACAATAGAAGTTTGTTTTGACTCACAGTTCCAGAGGCTAGGAATTCCAAGATCCAGGGAGTGGATCTGGTGAGGGCCTTCTTGCTGCATCATAACATGGAGGAAAGCATTACATGGCAAGAGCATGAGAGAGAGAGAGTAAACAGAAGGGCAAACTACCAAACCACTCCCATCATAACAGACTTAATTCATTCATGAAGGCAAAGCTCTGGTGGCTTAATAAACCTTTAAAGGTCCCACGCTTAGTACTGTTAAAATGACAAACTAGATTTCTACCTGAATTTCAAGGGAAGACATTCAAATCATAGTACCCATATATTGGTTGATATTTGATTCTCCAGCTATACTACATTAGCAATCATTCTACCTAAAAATTTTCATTTTATTGGCTTTTGGTACCTGCCACCCTTTGGTACTAGGGATTGAACCCAGAGGGTCTCTGAGCCCCACTCCCAGCCCTTTTTTAAAAAATTTTATTTTAAGAGCAGGTCTTGCTAAGCTGCTGAGGCTATCCTCCTTGCAATCCTCCTGCTTCAGCCTCCTCAGATGCTGGAATTGCAAGTAGGCACCACTGCACCTGGCTGTTACCTGTTAATCATTAGAAAGCAGAATTGAATGCAGATAGTCTTTTAATTTGTCAGCCCTGAGTTTAGTAGAAGTGGGGCAGTAAACTGGAATGATATGTGAAAGTGTGGCACTTCTACTTCTATCACCCATATTTTTTAGTTTTCCTCTCCAGTCCTCATTAGTTTTTTTGTTCAAGACAGGGTTTCATTGAGTTGCCTAGGTTGGCCTCTACCTTGCTCCTGCCTCAGCCTTCTGTGTTGGGATTATAGGCATATACTACTATGCCTGCTGATTTAGTAAATCCAGATATAGTATGGATACTTGGATTTTTAAAAGCTCCTCAGGTAGGTAGGCCTTAAAGTAGCCAAAGTTGAGGGGGGGAAAAAAAAGTTAAAGTAGCACCCAATGCCCTAGGGTGCCTGACCAGTCTGAATCTATTTTTCATGGACAGTCTGAACTATTAACATCCATTTCTGCAGCTTAGAGATAGGCAATGATTGCCCTAAGGCAGAGGTGTTTCATCTGTGGAATTAGTTGGGAAGTATCCCCCCCCCCTCTATTTTTTGAAAGAATTTGTGAAGGATTGATTGATGTTCACTCTTTGAACAAATGATAGAATTCACCAATGCTTAAGCCATCTGGGCTTGGGCTTATTCTTTTGGGGAAGTTTTTTGGTTTCTAATTCTCTCTCTAGTTATTCTTGGTCTATGCAGGTTTTCTATTTGTTCTTGAATCAGTTTTAGTAATTGTTCACTTCATCAAAGTAATTTGTTGGCATAAGGTTTTTGTGGTATTTCCTTTAGATTCTTTAAGATTGGCAGTAATGCCCCCTCTTCCATCGCTATTTTTAGAAATTCAAATCTTTTTCCCCCCTTAGGTTAGCTAAAAGTTTTTCCATTTTGTCGTTTTTGTTCAGTGAACTGCATTGTTAATTTTTCTCCACTAATTTCTAGTTTAATATTTATTACTGTGCTCACTTTCATTTAGTTTGCTTTCTTTTTATAGTTTCTTAAGGTGGAAAGTTAGGGAACTGATTTGAGACACCGTGGCTATGCTTTTAATTTCTGGAAATGACAGGCAAAACAAAACTAAAATCTTATTTTAAAATTTTGCATTCCTCTACCATCAGTGAAGGCTTTTCATAATTATTGCCCACTTGTTTTCCCATTAATTACTTTTAGAACACTTTATCCAAGCTGATTGGTAAAACGCCACCACAGAACATCTTCACACATTCATTTAAAAATTTATCCTTTAAAAGTTATTAGTTAACTTTCTCCCTTGTTTGGTGTCCATCTCTGTTTGTCGCTTGCCCGTTCAAGTTCTTTACTATTTTGAATATATGATTTGACTTTTCCTAACAGATTTGTAGGAATTCTTTATCAGTCCTTTACCGTTTGTTTTTCGTATTTTGCCTCTAGATTACTATTGGAGTACGTAAGTGATTTTTTTTCTCAGTATTGGGGATCTAACCCGGGGTCTAAGCAAGCATTCTTAACACTGAGCTACTACATCCCCAGCCCTTAAAAAAAAAAAAAAAAAAAAAAAACTGACACGGTCTCCCTAAATTGTCCGGGATGGCCTCGAATTTCCCATCCGGTCTTTAACTCTGGAGCAGCTGGAATTACAGGAGGGCGCCACAGGGCCTGATTAGGTGTTTTTTATTGTTGTTGTTTAACTCCAAGCTTAAACTATTCTGGAAAGGTGAGGTCTAAGCTGACTCCTGAAGACTCCTGGGTGGCGGGGCAAAAGGGCGTCATTGCTGGAAAACACAAAGCATCGCAAAAAGAAAAACAAGATTACGCAAGTCCCTGCCCTTCCTCCTACAATCTTTTGCCACCTCTCCTTGCCACCAGCTGCACGCCTCCTTCCGTCTGGCGCGTCTGTCTGACGTCACGAACTCGAGTCGTTCGATTCAGGCCGCGCAATCTCCGTGGCAGTGTACCTGGCGCGCTGATGCGAATCGTCGTGCGGCGCCGGAAGTCAGGGGCACGTGACCGGGTGACAGCGCTCTCTTGGCTGCGGGCTCGCTTTAGGTGCTGCGGCACGGGATGGCGGAGGCGCCTCCTGTCTCAGGTACTGTCCTGTCCCGCGCCGGACTGGGCCCTTCTCAGGGAAGGGCAGTTTGGTCAATGACTAAGTGCTAGGGCTCCGGCAATTTATATCGCGAGAGTGGCTCTTGCTAGAGTTGGGAATAGTGGCTCGGAAGGGCCAAGCCACGCTCGTCGCGCAAACGGAGACCTCCGGCATCTTCAACTGGGTGGTGAAGCCCGGCATCTGGGTTTCCGAGGAGATCGGGCTTGTTCTGGAGCCCAGTGAGTCGATGCGGGTGTCCCGCTGTCCCACGGGGCTTATATCGGCCATCTAGAGTACATCTGGCTCACCTTTGAACGGCGGGCGTCGGCCAAGTTGCCGCCAGTGCCTGGCGGGCTCTCGGTTCCATCGGGTGTGCGCGCTGTGCTTGGGGTGTATGCACACCTCTTGGAGTGGCGGCGCGCGCGCCAGCCGAACACCAGTGGTGATCAAGTCTCAGTTTCCTTATCTGTCAGATTAAATAAGTTATTAACTGTAAAAGCTCTCGCACTGAACTGTGTCTGTTAGCTCACTTCCCTTCATGGAGTTGCCTCTGTAGACCGCCTTATTTGACTGTTAGTATAACGTCCATTTTCATTTCCTTCAGTGTGTACGGTAGATTCGTGGCTTCCAAACTTTGTGGTCAGGGACCAAAAATAATTTTGTATCACAAGCTTATTTCACACTTACAGAACATGAAAGTGAACTAAATATTTCCAGGAGCAATGTTTTCCTTTACTATCAGTGATATACTCTCTTTTCTTCCGTGTGTGTGTGTGTGTGTGTGTGTGTTTAAACCCCGGGCCTCACGCATGATAGGCAAGCACTCTACCACTCAGCTACATGCCCAACCCTTTTTAAAAATCTTAGGACAGGGTCTTGCTAAGTTACCCAGACCAGAGTCAAATTTTCTATCCTCTTGCCTCAGCCTCCCCAAGTAGCTACAGTTACACTGTAGCATCTGGCTTGTGTATCACTTTTAAAAGTAGTCGTCACTACCCACTATATTGATTTAATAGGGTTTTTTTGTTTTGATTTGTTGTTGTTTTGGTAGGTGTATTCCGTTATGCCTGGCTGCTACATGATTTGGTTTCTGATTTCATGACCCACTGTTTCTGAAAAACAAGGCAACAATTTCCAGCATTTGTTGGTTTGAATCTTAGCTCTAACACAGAACTAAGATTTAAGATCTTATTGGGGCACCAATAAGATTATGTATGTATTTGTGTACTAGATAGCAGATAAAATATTTATTACTGTGGCCTCAATTTTAAAAATTGGGGAAAAAAAAAAAAAAAACACTACATTGGTGTAAATAGTCCCGACTTGGGTATTAATTAATCTTGGGGAGAGGGTTTTGTTTTGTTTTGTTTTTGTTTGTTTGTTTTTTGGTACCAGGGATTGAATCCAGGGGCACTTAACCCCTGAGCCACATCCCCTGCCCTTTTTATTTTTTATTTAGAGACAGGGTTTTACTAAGTTGCGGAGGCTGGTTTTGAGCTCATGATCCTCCTGCCTCAGTCTCATGAGCCACTGGGACTACAGGTATGCATCACTGTGCCCCTGAAAATCTTATTTTGTGTAAATGGTACTGAAGATTGAACCCAGGGGTGCTCTATGACTGAGCTACATCTCCAGCCCTTTTTGTTTTTTATGTTGAGATAGGATCTTGCTAAAGTGCCAAGGATGGCCTCAAACTTGTGATCCTCCTGCCTCAGCCCCCCAAATAACTGGGATTACAGTCATGCACACCATGCCCAACAGGGATATGAAAAAGCTTTTTAGGTTGATATTTTTGCTATTTTCCCCAATTAGTCCTTCACCAGACCCTCTAAACTGGATCTGTTGGTCTTCCCATCCTCAGGCTCACTTATTTCTATATCTTTCAGTGTTTAAAGTGGAAAGGGTAAATAAAGGCTAGTTGTAAGACATAGTTGTTGGCCTCTGGTGTGGGCTCCAAGTTACCACCTCCACCTGATAAATGCATTTACTGAGTCCCATAGTTCAAAGACCTCTCTACTTTTGTGATTCTTTGTTTTTGTTTTAGTTCCCTATTTCATTTTCTTATTTTAGCATCATCTCTATTTTACAACCTCCCTCTCCATTTAAGGTCCTTAAATGGTAGCCTAATTCAGGAGGAATCTTTTTTTCATGGGTAGACTTTCCATGTCAGCTTTGTCCCTGGACTTTATAGTCTGCCAGTTGGCTTTGCCCTTATTCTGCTCTGATCACCTGTTGAACACCTACCATGATGCTGTGTTATCTTGGATCTTGATACCACTTACTTCTGTAAGAGCCATGTCTGGATGAGGAGACATCACTGTTATTGAGTAACTTTCACTTACTTAAATAGTGAAAGGAGTCTTTCTGATGTTTGCTATGGTCCAGTTTCCTGACTCATGTATCTCTTTTCTCTTCCTCGTGTCTCTTAAGTGTCTTTCTGAGGGCTTTGCCTTATACTTAATGTCTAATGGGATATAAACTGTATGAATAGGTGCAGTCCTGTCTGGATTGATTGATTCCTGCTCAAAAGTCTATTCTGGACAACTTCACTGACCTTATTTCTGCCCCTCTTTTCAGCCTTCCTTTTTTTTTTTTTTTTAATATTTATTTCTTAGGTGTAGATGGACTCAACACAATGCCTTTATTTTTATGTGGTGCTAAGGATCGAACTCAGGTCCCGCCGGTGTTAGGCAAGCACTCTACGGCTGAGCCACAATCCCAGCCCCTCAGTCTTGCTTTTTTAAAGCAGGAAAACTGACCTCTTGGTCCAGTTTACCAATCCTTATCTTTAATTTGTATCTTATGTCTCTAGAAAATCTCTACCACCTTCTGAATTTATCTAATCCTCATGCCATTTTGTGCAGCCTTACACTCCACCCCTAGAATTCTGCCTATGTGGAAGTGTTCAGTAGAAATCTGGGATTAAGTGAGAGGTTACTTTATGACTTTTATGAACTCATTTAGTTCTTCACTATGTTTCTCTGGTCTCTGGTGCCACACATCCTGAGCTAGAATCCTGAGTCTGCATTGGAATACCTCTGTGTCTTTAGGCAAGTTACTCTCTCTGTGCCTTAGTTTTCTCATCTAGAATGTATAAAGATTAACTGAGTTAACACATGTAAAAGACTTAGAATAGTGCCCAGCACATATTAAGTACCTAACAAATGTTAGGCCATATTATTAAACCTGCACCGTATCCATCTGCACTTGACTGTATATGTTTCAGGTAGTCCATAGTCTGTATTCCTAACAGCAAGAATAAAGACCGTTGTAACTACTTTATACATGTCATTAACTTGCTTTACTCTTTTTTTCCACATTTTTTAATTGGTGCACCATAGTTGTACACAATGATGATATTTATTGTTACATCCATGCACACAATGTAACAATATAATTTGACCAACATTACTCCCTAGTACTTCCCTCCTCCCTTCCCTCTTCCCACCCTTGCTTTACTCTTTATAGGAACTCTTTTTGTTGTAGGGATTGTTTCCATCTGCATTACATAGAAGAAAACTTACATTAAAGCACAGTAGGTGATAGGGACTTAAATCCATGTCTTTCAGACTCTGTTGACTCGGAGCATATTTTATATGTTTCCAACTGGTTTTGTGTTGTTAGGCTAATCATTTCTTCTTTAGGGCTTTAGGGACTGAGTTGACTATCCTAAAATCATTCTAGAGCCAGGTATGATGGCACATACCTGTAATCCCAGCTCCTCAAGAGCCTGAAGCAGGAGGTTCACAAGTTTAAGGCCAGCCTCTGCATCTCTGCCCCACCCTGTCAAAGTAAAAATTTTAAAGGGGCTTGGGATGTAACTTAGTGGTAAAGCATGCCTGGATCAGTCCCCAGTACCAAAAAGAAAGAGGAAAAAAAAATTGTTTTAGAGGAGCAAAGTGAGTGAGTTTAAGGGACATATGATCAACTCTTTTTTTTTTTTTTTTTTTGGTGTGTGTGTGTGTGTGTGTGTTGCTGGGGATTGAATCCAGGGGCTTGTGCATGTAAGGCAGGCACTCTACCAACTGAGCTATATCCCCAGCCTCTGTATTTTTTTAAAAAAATTTTTTTAAAAATATTTATTTTTTAGTTGGACACAATATTTTATTTATTTATTTTTATATGGTGCTGAGGATCGAACTCAGAGCCTCGCACATGCTAGGCAAGCGCTCTACCACTGAGCCACAACCCCAGCCCTGTATGATCTATTTTGAGACTGGAACTCTAGAGCATATTATGGGTGTTGTTATGGAAAATCAAAAATATATTCCTGGGAAAAGAGATGGAAAGTAATGCTTACTATGCTAATATTTTCTGTGTGAAATCTTATTTAAAATATTTTTTAAATTATCTCAAATAATCCTTTAAAAAAACTCTTATCTTATAGATGTGGAAACTGAGGCTAGTGGTGTTCAAATGATATCTCTAACCTCATAACATAAATTGGAGAGTGTTTAAACCTGTTTCAGCTGACTTCAAAGTTTGTTTACTTAGTATTGCACAATGCTACTTTAGAGTTTGGAAAGACGCTGGTGACTGATGGCTCATTCCTGTACTGTTAACTGACCTTTAATATTTTGATAAAATAAATGCATGTGTACATCATGCCTGATGGCCCAGATGAGCATTTTTACTCAGCAGCTCTTAGCTGTTATGGCTCTATAACCAGTGGATAAGGGATAATGTATCCTGTACAAGAACCTTGATGCCTGGGGCTATAGCTCAGTTGGTAGAGTGCTCGCCTTTCATGTACAAGGTCCTACATTTGATCCCCAGCACCAAAAAAAAAAAAAAAAGCCTTGAACCTATCACATCAGCTCCACAGGTCTAAGAGTTTGGTTTTTTTGTGTTTTTTTTTTAAGAGAGAGAGAATTTTTTTAATATTTTTTTTTTTAGTTATCGGCGGATACAACATCTTTGTTGGTATGTGGTGCTGAGGATCGAACCCGGGCCGCACGCATGCCAGACGAGCGCACTACGGCTTGAGCCACATCTCCAGCCTGTTTTTTTGTTTTTCTTTTTAATATTTTTATTAGTGGTTGATGGATCTTTAATTAATCTATTTATTTATTTATTTATATGTGGCACTGAGGATCGAACCCAGTGCCTCACACGTGCTACACAAGCACTCTACCACTGAGCCACAACCCTAGCCCTAAGGGTTTATTTTGTACAATGGCCTTAGGAAAATGATTTTTAGATATGGTTTAGAGTCTTATAGGGTAACACATTCATTTCCTTACTGGCATGTCTATTTCTTATGTCCTAGGTACTTTTAAATTGAATACAGAAGCCACTGAATTCATTCCTCAGGAGAGAAAAAATTCTGGTCTAAATTGTGGGACTCAAAGAAGATCAGACTCCAATAGGATTGGCAGAAGAAATTATAGTTCATCACCTCCCTGTCACATTTCTAGGCAGATTCCTTATGATGACATCACTGTTGTTCATCAGCACAGTTATCCTTCAGGAAGTAAACCGAAGAGTCAACAGACTTTTTTCCAGTCTTCTACTTCTAATAAGTCACTCAAGAACCATAACCTTCAGAGTCAGCCTTGGCAAAAATTAAAGCATGAAAAACATCACATCAGAGTCAAGAAAATACAAGGGCTCAGTGACCAGAGCTTAGATACAATTAGCTTAGAAAGTGTGGCCAGGCCAGAGAGTGGGACAAACCTCAGTGAGTATAGCCCTTCTGAGAGTGAGAAGGAAATTGTTGGTGCAGATCCCAGGGGAGCAAAACCGAAAAAGTCAGCTCAATTTGTATACAGTTATGGTAGAGGATCAAAAGTCAAGGGGAAACTAAAGTGTGAATGGGGTAACAAAATGACTCCAAAACCTGAGGATGCTGGACTTGACAATACCAAATCTGTGGGGGTTTGCCACCCTGACTCCTCAGATGCATCCTGTAAAAAAGGAGCACTGGATGGGTATGGAGCCAGACGAAATGAGCAAAGAAGATACCCTCAGAAAAGGCCTCCGTGGGAAGTGGAAGGGGCCAGGCCACGACCAGGCCGGAATCCACCAAAACAAGAGAGCCAACGACATACAAATGCAGGGCCTAGAATCAACCTGGCTCCCATTCCAAAGGACAGTCTCAATGAAAGACCAACAAAATCAGCCTGTGACAGTGGGAATTTGGCAGTTGTCAACAAGTCTTCCAGAAGGGTTGACCAAGAGAAAAGTACTATAAGGAGACAGGATCCTCAAGTGATATCTTCTTTCTCACGAGGCAAACAGAACCATGTGTTAAAGAATGTGGAAACCCATACAGGTAAATCCACCTAGATGTGTGGAAATATATTTTTAATATTTTTTTAGAGAGAATTTTTTTTTTTTTTTTAATATTTATTTTTCAGTTTTCGGCAGACACAACATCTTTGTTTGTATGTGGTGTTGAGGATCGAACCCGGGCCGCATGCACGCCAGGCGAGCGTGCTACTGCTTGAGCCACATCCCTAGCCCTATTTTTAATATTTTTTTAACAAGTAATATATTCACGTAATTTAGAAAACAAAGTACAAAAAGGTACACAGTGAAAAGTATCTTAATTCATCATGTGCCTGGGTTCTGTTGCTCTTCTTCCCCACTGGTAAGCACTTAACATGGTTTTATGTATATTACAAACAAATACAAATAAGGACTTTTTCATATAAGGAGCTTTGTAAGGGTTCTTAAAGCTGCAGATATAGATGGTGAAGATGTCTAGCTATAAGATTTTATTTTATTTTTTTTCCTGCAGTACTGGGAATTGAACCCAGGGCCTGGTGCATGCTAGGCAAGCACTGTACCTTTGAACTACATACCCAGCCCTGAAGACTTTTTGAGTTGTGAAAGCAGAAGTAGGGGATAGTAACATCCACACTCTCTCTGCAGGTTCCAGCCTGTGTCACCTAATCTGCTTCATCTTGTCTGCTCAGTTGTGATGGTTCCTATCTCACCATCTCTTAATTTCTCTCTTTCATTTCATCTCTTGCACCACCATCAGAGAGCATTTTTTTGGCAACATATTGAACTGCCTTTTCCCTGCTCGAATTTTCCATTTATTAGTTCTCATTACATACAGATTCTGGCTACCGCCTTACTCAGGCCTGTCTTCTACTACCTCAGTGTCCACCATTTCAATTTCCTGGATTCAGTACTGTTGTATCTTTCCATGCTGTTGCATGAAGCTCCTTCTGCCTAGAATTTCTACTACTCAGCTTACTGGTGATTTATTTATTTATTTGTACTGAGGATTAAAGCCATGGGTACTTAACCGCTGAGTCACTTCCCCAGTCCTTTTTTTAATTTTAAGACAAGATCTTGCAAATTGCTGAGGCTGGCCTCAAACTTGTGATCCTCCTGTGCTACTATACCCAACCTTACTGGTAAATTTTTTTTTTTTTTTTTTTTTTTGTACTGGGGATTGAACTCAAGGGCACTCAACCACTGACCTCCCTGTTGCTGAGGTTGGCTTTGAACTCCCAATCCTCCTGTCTCTGCCTCCCTAGCTGCTGGAATTACAAGCGTGTGCCACCACACCCAATGTGAATTCTTATTCATGTTTCCAAAGCTTAGTTTAGTTATATTTTCAGGGAACATTTTCTCATCCCTATAGATAGCATTAATTTTTTTCAGACCTTATATGTATATCTTTCATATATATATATATATATATATGTGTGTGTGTGTGTGTGTGTGTGTGTGTGTATATATATATATGTAAGTATGTATGTATATATGCTTCTATTTCAGAATTTACCACTGGAAATCATAATTTGTTTATGTGTCAGTGCCTTTACTAGTCTGTAAACCCATTAAAAACAAATATTGGCCAGGCACATTGGTGCACACCTGTAATCCCAGGGACTCAGGAGGCTGCAGCAGGAGAATCACAAGTTTGAGACCAGCCTCTGTGACTTAGTGAGACTCTCTCTCAAAATAAAAAGGGATTGGGACATAGTAGTAAAGTGCCCCAGGTTCAATCCTCAGTATTGCCAAAAGAGAAAAACAGTTACTGTGTCTTTTTTTTCAGCTTTTTGGAATTCTGTCTTAACAGCTCATGGAACATAATAGCTACAAAGCTATGTAGTTCATCCTTAAATTGAACTGAAAACTTTTTTTCCTATGAATGCTGTCTGTATTTTGGTTCAAGTTCTATCCTTTATAACAGCACAGCAATCAGTATTTCTCCTCATGGTTTCCCTCCCCCTTGTTTCACAGTTGGAGACCTTTCCTTTTTCCCTGAGTGTACATCTCATCAAGGCTAAATAGTTTTATCCCATTATTATTGTGAACTTTTACCATCTTGGTCTTTTTTCAGTTTTAATGTGAGATATAGCCTAACCCATGAAGCTGCCACCTTCCTGGAGTCTGTTTTTATACTAGCCTTTATTTCTTCTAGTTGCTTTCTTCACCAGGTAGTCCTTGGGACTCAACTTTTATGTGAAGCAAAGCAGTGTTATGCCAGAGTTGTTTTATATTGTTGTTGTTTGTTTGTTTGTTTGTTTATGATAGTGTAGATTGAACCCAGAGCCTCACACATGCTAGGCCAGTGCTCTACAAGCCCTTTTTTCATTTTATTTGAGAAAGGATATTGCTAAGTTCCCGGGGCTGGCCTGGATTTGCGATCCTTTTGCCTTAGTCTCCTGAGTAGCTGGAATTATAGGTGTATGCTACTGGGATCAGGGCAATGCTGGGGATTACACCTGAGCACCTTGCACAGTCTAGGCAAGTGCTCTACCACTGAACTGCACTCCTACTAGTCTCTCAGGGTTGTTTTGAATCCTTAAGGCTGGTTAATGGGTCACTTATTGCTTTATAATGAATTATCATAAACAGTGGGTTAATATAACACAAATTTAATATGTGACAGTTGCTGTGAAGTAGGAGACTGGGTATGGGTTAGCTGGATTCTCTATTCAGGGTGTCCCAGGCTGAAATTTGGCCAGAGATGTGACCTTTGAGGATCAGGACCCTCTTTCATTCTCACTGCTGGTGATTCAGTTTCTTAAAGGTCCAAACTGAAGTCCTTTTTTTTTTTGGCTGGGTATTGACAAGGGATTCACTCTCAGCTCTTAGAAGCCAGTCCTAATTTTCTATTATGTGGCCTTATTTATAACATTGTAGTTAGCTTCTTTGAGGCATACAGAAAAATATATTCTATAAGTTTCAAATCATTCTGACTTCTGTCTCCTTTGTTGTTGTTAATTTGTTTTGTTTTTGGTAGTACTGGGGATTGAACCCAGGGCCTCATGCATTCTAGGCAAGTGTTATACCACTGAGCTACATCCCCCGCCCTTTTAATTTTAAGACAAGGTCTTGCCAAGTTGCCCAGGCTACTTTGAACTTAAATACTCTTGTCTTGCTCAGCCTCTGTAGAGTGGCTGGGATTATGAACAAGCACCACTGCACCCAGGTGTCCACTTTTTTATTATTTTTTGGTACCAGGAATTAAACCCAGAGGTGCTTAGCCACTCAGCCACATCCTGGTTTTATTTTTTATTTTAAGACAGGGTCTTGCTGAGTTGTTGAGGCTGGCTTTAAACTTGTGATCCTCCTGCTTCAGCCTCCCAAGACGCTGGGATCATGGGCATGTGCTACCACATCCAGTACTCTCCACTCCTTTAAAAGGATTCACCTGACTAGGTCAGGCATAACCCTTCTCAAAGGGAGGTACCTTTTCAGGGTGTACACATCAAGGAGGTGGAAGTCTGGGAGCCCATCTTAGACTCCTGCTCAGTAAATCTCTCAAGGCCTTACATTCTCACAGTATTTGTTACTTCATTCATATTATTGTGTAAATACAGTCATCTCTTGGTATCCACAGATGACTGGTTCCAGGACCCCTTCCAGATACTGAAATCCATAGATACTGAAGTCCCTTATATAAAATGATGTCGCATTTTCATATGACCTAAGCATGTTCTCCCATATATTTTAAATTATTTTTAGGTTATTTATAATCCCAAACAAAATGTAAATGCTGTTTACATAGTTGTTATACTGTATTTATGGAATAATAACTAGTAAAAAAAGCTGTACATGTTCAGTACAGAACAGGTATTTTTAAAGAATTTAACCTTTTATTTATTTTATTTATTTGTTTTTATGTGATGCTGAGGATCGAACCCATTGTCTCATCTGTGCTAGGCAAGCACTCTATCACTGAGCTACAACCCCAGCCCATTCCAGAGCAGTTTTTAAGGGAAAAGAAAAAAAAAAAAAGATCAGTCTGTGGTTGTTTGAATCAGCAGATGTGCAACCCACGAATATGGAGGCCTGAGTTCCTATATACCATTCACTGTGCTAGATGCATTAAATACTGGGAATGTTTACATTGTAGTAGGGAAGACAGGCAGAATATTTAATATATCAGGTGGTGATAAAGTTTAAAAAGAAATACAAAGCAGGTTGAAGACAAAAGTGGCCGGGATGCTATTTTTTTTTTAATATTTATTTTTTAATTGTAGTTGGACACAATACCTTTATTTCACTTATTATTTTTATGTGGTGCTGAGGATTGAACCCCAGGTCTTGCATGTGTGAGGTGAGGGCTCTACCGATGAGCCACAACCCCAGCCCAGGATGATATGCTTTTTTTTTTTTGGTGATGCTGGTGGTTGAACCAGGAACATCTTAGGCAAGTGCTTTACCACAGAACTATATCTCCAGCCCATGAGGAAACATTTGTACAGAGACCAAAACAAAGTACAGAATCTTCTCTGTGGCCCTTTGAGGAGGAGCAAATTTAGATGGAGGGAGGGGCATTATGGTCAATAAATGCTGGTAGGAGAAACAGTCAGAGAATTAATAGGGGCTGGATCGTGTGAGGCCCTTAGTTTTGATTCTGAGTAAGTAGATGAGAATCTGCTAGGAGGTTTTGGGAGGATGGTATGCTCTTTCTAAAATAATGATCACTGGGCTGGGGTTGTGGTTCAGTGGTAGAGCACTTGCCTAGCATAAGCGCGGCCCTGGGTTCGATCCTCAGCACCACATAAAAATAAATAAATAAAATAAAGGCATTGTGTTCAATTACAAATAAAAAATAAATATTAAAAAATAAAATAAGGGGCTGGGGATGTGGCTCAAGCGGTATCGCACTTGCCTGGCATGCATGCGGCCCGAGTTCAATCCTCAGCACCACATACAAACAAAGATGTTGTGTCCGCCGAAAACTAAAAAATAAATAAAAAATAAAATAATGATCACTTAGTCTGCTATATGGAGAAAAGACTAAGAAAACAACAGGGCAGATTAGTATAATATGATAGTAATTCTGATGGGAGAAGACAGAAACTTGGACCGTGAATACTAGTGGTAGAAAGGGTGATCTATAAGACTTTGTGGATGTATTTGGAAGGAGGAGCTGATATCTTACGCGTACAGATTGGATGATAGAAGAGAATGAAAGGAGTGCAGGATGAAGTTAAGGATTTTGTGCCTGAGCAGTTTAAAAGAGTGGAGCTGCCATTTACTGAATATAAAACCTGGGAAAGGATTAGGGACTTATTTATTTATTTATATTCTGATATTTATATTATATTGTTATTTACATTATTTTTTTGTGGTGCTGGGAATAAAACTCAGAGCCTTGGGCATACTAGGCAAGAATTCTACCCCGACAGAATATTCCACCCAAATAAGGTAAGGGAGAGGGTTTCGAAAGGTGGAGTCTTGCTGTCAGCAGATTGATTGACATCTCAGCAAGTCACACCCATCTCAGGTGCTGTGTGTGATCACTGACAGAGTGAGAGGAAAGGCACTTATGTGTCACTCAGCACGCAACACTAGATGGCTCTTGACAAGTACTACTTCTGTTTTATCTATATCAGCTTCTGTGTCTCCTTATCTCCTTTTTTTTTTTTTTTTTTTTTGGTACTGGGAAATTAACTTGGGGGCACTCGACCACTGAGCCACATCCCCAGCCCTATTTTGTATTTTATTAGAGACAGCATCTCACTAAGTTGCTTAGCACCTCACTAAATTGCTGAGTTTGGCTTGAACTCACTCTCCTCCTGCCTCCACCTCCCGAGCCACTGGGATTACAGACCTGCATACCGTACCAGCACTCCTTTGTCATCTCTCATTCTCCAAATCTCCCATCCCCAGCCCTTCCTATTGATGCATCTTGCTCCATTTTTCTACTGCAGTGGTTCTGAAAGTATGGTCCCAGACCAGCAGCTGTCAGCAAGACCCAAGAACCTGTTAAAAATGCAGGTTCTTGGGCCTCATGCCAGATTATCAAACAAAAATCCTGGGAGCAGGATCTGTAATCTTATTTTTTAACAAACTTCCATGTAATTCTAATTGCATGCTCAAGTTTGAGAATGATCTGCCATAAAACCTGCTGTTATTCTGTGTGACTTTAGCATCTAACAATCATATGGATTATGCCATCCTGAAGTTCTTTCATCTTCTCAACTACAGTCACCTTTAACTTCATCCTACCTCCATACCCACTCTCAGGGAAATAACACTGAGAATCCTGTCACTGAAAGTCTTATGTCAACTTTTTTTTTTTTTTTTTTAATTTTTTTATTGTTGGTTGTTCAAAACATTACATAGTTCTTGATATATCATATTTCACACTTTGATTCAAGTGGGTTATGAACTCCCATTTTTACCCCGTATACAAATTGCAGAATCACATCAGTTACACATCCATTGATTTACATATTGCCATACTAGTGTCTGTTGTTATGTCAACTTTTTGACTGTAACCGTTTGTCCTGGTTCTCTTAGCCTCTTTCTTGCACCCACACTACCAGTTTTGTCTACTTCTTGCCCTTCTTCATTCTCTTTTCAGGATGAGTCTTATCACAGATCATGTGAAGCATGATCTTTTGCCAAGCCATTTGGCAGAATCTCATTCCCAGAAAATCTGCTTTATTCTACATCAGCACCTGGGAAATAAAATGCTGTTCCAGAAAAGTCACAAAACCAAAATTGGTGCTGCTGCAGGTTTATTCATCCTTTTAGAGAAGCCTACCTGCGTTAGCTTTCCATTGCTGTGATAAATACCTGAAATAAACAGTTTAAAAGAGGAAAAAAATTAATTTGGCTCATTATTTCAGAGGTTCAAATCATGGTCAGTTGGGTCTATCCTGGGGCCTTCAGTGAGACACAACATTATGGCAGGGAGCTTGTGGTAGAGCAGAGCTGCCCATGGCCCCCAAGAAGCAGAGAGAAAGAGAGGCTGGAGTCCTGATAACCCCTTCAGGACACACCCATATTGACTTGACTTCCTCCAATGAGGCCCCAGATCCTTAAGTTTCTACTACCTCCCTATAGCACCATTAACTGGAGACTAAACTAAATCTTCAATACATAAACCATTAGGGAACTTTAAAAATGCAAACTGTGACACTTCCTAATCATCTTATTTAAAATTATAATCCTTCCCCACTGTCAGGATTCCCTGTCCTTTCTTATTTTCTTTTTCTCCATATCACCTTTCTCTATCTTATGGTGTTACATATTTTCATTATTTATTTGTTTATGGTTTACTTTCTCCCATGAGATTATAAGTTTCACAAAGATAAGGATTCCTCTCCCTAAATCTCAAGTGAACCTTCTTGCTTCCTACTTTACTGATAAAGAGGAAACCATCAGATAGGCCATATTTATCTCACCATTTTGTTCCTTTTATGCACACTTCGTTTACCTGTCCTTCAATTTCATTCTGAGATTTCCTTTGTTTTCCTTTCACCAACCTTTTCACATGTACTCTTTCAGCTTCTAAGTCTGAAGCTCTTGCCAAGTCTTTTCTACCCTCCAAAAGGAAAATTTCCTTTGCTGAATGACTTCTTAGTAAGATTTCTTTCTTTTCATTCCGGGCTAATCAAGAGTTGTCTGCTGGGCTGGGGATGTGGCTCAAGCGGTAGCGCGCTCGCCTGGCATGCATGCGGCCCGGTTTCGATCCTCAGCACCACATACAAACAAATGTGTCTGCCGAAAACTAAAAAAAAAAATAAATATTAAAATTCTCTCTCTCTCTCTTTAAAAATAAAAAAAAAGAGTTGTCTGTTGTTTTCTCTATTTTGATTCACTTCTTTGTATCATCATCATCATCATTTGATTCAGCTGAACAATGATAAGGTCAGGAATGGTTTTCTATTTGCCACACCCATTAGATGGATGTATATCAGTCCTTACTATTCTGGATTTCCCTTTGAGTATGATGTAAAGAGGGAATTGAACCCAGGGCCTTGTGCATGCAAGGCGAGCACTCTACCAACTGAGTTATATCCCCAGCCCACAAGAGGGAGTCTTTTTTGAAGTGAGACTTTCTTGACACCACATACTTCTGGTCTTTCTTATTTTCTTTGACTATTTTGCTTGAGTCTTTCAAATTTCTCTTCCTCCTCTCTTTCCTAACTATTGGGTGTTTCCTGGGGTTTTATCTCAACCCTTTGTTCTCATTGATAAGGTCTCATTAGGTTATTTTATCCAAGGACCACTGCCTCCATTCTGCACTGACTTCTTCTATGTTCAGACCCTAAAGCTTTAGATTTAATAAATATATACATGCGGATAACATATACTTTGAATTCAACAAGACCAACTTGAACATCTTAACCAGGCCTACCATTGTATTAGCTTAAAAAAATATATAGCTACCTCAACTTTAGTGAGATAACTTACTAAAATTCCCTAGTGGATAGCTTACTTTTAGTCCCAGTATCCAGGTAAAATCAACTTTAACTTTTTGTTCTATTTCCTTATGGAATTTTTCAATGCAAGTGGCCATTTTCTTAGATAATCATAGTATTGTCTTCACACTTAACAAAGTTAGCAATGCTTTTATTAACTCATCTAATACCTACTCCATGATTGAAATCCTGATTGTCTGAAAACTCATTTTAGTCTTGAATTTTTCCAAATCTGGTTTGTTTTAGCTTTTTTTTCTTTAATCAGTTATTTATTGATATATCTGAAAAGTTTTCAGTCAGTTAATGCTTCAGTTATATCTCTGCTTTTCTGATTATTTCAGTGGACAATATGCCAGTAGGACATTTTATCCAATTAGAAGCATAGATACAATCATGACTCAGAAATGGTAGGGAAGCCATAGTGGAAAAATACCTTCTAGAATTCAAAAAGAGCCAATAGTCAAGGCATGACTGCCATCTAGTGTGGACAAGACTCTTACACCTGAAACCTGATAGTTAACTAACAGAGTAATGGCAGGACATTGTCATGTCTTACAAGTTAGGCATGTTTTCATAAAACTAAAGGAAAGATTAGTGTCATCAGTGAAAGACCTACTGTTTCTTTTTCTGGGACCTTTCTGGAACCTGTACATTTTTCATATGAGAAATACTATTGGGTATGCTATTTTTGTGTTTTTCATTACACAGTGTGTAAATTATTGTGGTTACCTAGTTCACTGTGGTACTAGGCAGAAATTTTTTTAAAAATTTAATAAAGATACAAAGAAATTGTTAAGCAATGATAAAAAAAAGGAAGGGGGCGGGAGAAATAGTATTGGTACTCATCATGTCCCAGGCACCACTCTAGTAAAAGTCTGCACTATTCTGTGAAAAGAGTTGAATAATAAGCAAGAGAAAACAAGTAAAATATATGTCCTATCAGGTAGTTTCTTTGTGTATGTAGTGCTAGGGATGGAACTTAGGGCCTTGTGCATGCTAAATGTGTGTTCTACCATTGAGCTATAACTCCAAACTATTCCCTTGGTCTCAGTAGATGGTGAGTTCCTGGAATCAGGAACTGTGTCTCCTTAGGTCTGGTAACCCTACCATGGAGATTGTGATAGGAGCCAAGCCTATCTTTATTGAGTAAATAAAGAAAAACTTCTGGGGTAACTGCTGGAACCATCTCACTCCCCCATGGATTGTTAGAACATATCCAGATTTAGGCTTTTGCAGCTGACCAGTGCAGCTTCCTGAGCCCCACCCCACCCTAGCCTAAATCCATGGATTTGGTAGATTCAGGGCCTCTCTCCTTTAGAGTGTGCAGAGCAACATTCCATTGTACAGTGTCCCCCAAGGACACTCAAGCTGTCTGTCTTTCAGGAGCATTTTGCCACCCTAGTATCTTTCTGAGAAAATTCTTGGGAATATTTTCTCAATTATGGGAATGCACACTAAAAAATCTTTTTACTAAATCCTCTGCCTCAGCATATCCTGCTTTGTAGACCTTAATGTCTGAATAGCCATCTTATTCAAAATCAGATGTCCCTTAAAATCTCTGTTTAGTTTCTTCTGAATGATTAGCGAAATGTGAAGGATGTTTGAGTTTATCCTTTTTTTTTTTTTTTCCCAACAGGTTCTCTAATTGAACAGCTGACTACAGAAAAATATGAATGCATGGTGTGCTGTGAATTGGTTCGTGTCACAGCCCCAGTGTGGAGTTGTCAGAGCTGTTATCATGTGTTTCATCTGAACTGCATAAAGAAATGGGCAAGGTCTCCAGCATCTCAAGCAGGTCAGTTATTTCTCTTTTCAGAGTAGTTATTCTCATCTCTTTGATATGTTCAGGTGGTAAGTCTAGCTTTAAAATATTGTTTAATTCCTCTTAAATATTTTGTCTACAGGGAGAGTATATTACCTTGATCAAATTTTAGATGGCCAAAGTTAAGCTGTAAATCTTAAGTAAACTAACTAAATGTAACAATATTAAAATATTTAGGGTATAATAAAATTTGTTACTTTTATTGAAAATGGCAGCTTTTATCCAAGTAGCAACTATAGAAAGCTTTTCTTATATAGTTTGCCTTAGAAATTTATGCAGAGCAATGGTTTCATTTATACTCAAGATTTTGAAGTTGGTTTTGCCTTTCACAACCCTTCTTCATAGTATATTGTTGGCTAAGTATACTAATATGATTAGATAATGCATATGTTACTAATAATATGGTTTCTGAACTATGGACCTCTAATTCAAAACTCCTGGATTTTCTTGCATATACTCAGTTTATCCTATATTTTTCTTTTTTTTTTTTCTTATCCAGGATTTATTAAAGAAAATATATGCAATAAAGTTACAAAAATGTATTGATTATTCCCCCATATTCAACATTGCTATTCTAAAACTTTTACTGCAAGTATTATGTAATAACTAATATTGAATATAATTCTAGAAATTGGCACTATTTAATTCAATAAGCACTGCTATTGCTCAAGATAATAAAATAAGATTTATTCAGGGGATCTAAATCATATCTTTCTGGCTGTATAAAACCCTCAAGCACAGATAATTCTTTCTGGAAATCTTTTTGACCCCTCTTTGTCTCTGATATGACGTTCAAATCATTAAGCAATAGAATAGAGCGTGAGTTTCAAGTCCTGGCATCTAACCAACTCAAATCTTGATTTTCTTACTTACCAGCAGTGTAAGTTTGGGCAAGTCATTTAATCTTTTAGAGTCTCAGTTTGCAATGACAACAAAAATGAAAATAGCCACTCATTGAATTATTCTGAACATAATATGAAATTGATCACATAAAGAGAATATTATATAATCAGTGCTCAATAGAACCATTATTTTAAATAAATTTCCATTGGTTTAGACCACTATGATGTGTCTCCAACATTGTTTTCTTATAGTGGTTTCTCTGATCATCTTCATCCTGCTTATACTGTGTGAGCAAGCGGAATTCTCTTTTGGCCCATGCCATATAATTTTGTATCCTATATTTTTCAAACCAAGATTCAGATTAATGTTGACATTAGAAATGATAGAACAAAACGAATGCCTACTTGATTTGTTATATCTGAAAGTTCTTTCAGTATTGTGAATTTCTTTCTTAAATGTTTGATATGCTTAACATTGAAATTTCTACCAGGATGTCAATATTGTGACTTTGGCAGTTTTTAGTTTGTTTGGTTTTTTGTTTTTTGGAGTTTTTGTGTGTGTGTGTGTGTACGCGCGCGCACGCTACTGGAGAACGAACCCAAGGCCTTGTACTTGCTAGGCAAACCACTGAACTATAGCCCCTGTCCTAGATTTAAATTTTTTAAAATTACTTGTGCCTTTTTTGGGGTGGTAGTGCTGGGATCGAACATAGGACCCCATGCATGCCAAGCAGGTGTTCTGCTCCTGGGCTACACCCCCAGCCCTACTTGTGCTTTTGAAAGAAAATTTCTTTGTCATACTCATTTTTTTGACAGATGGCCAGAGTGGTTGGAGGTGCCCTACCTGTCAGAATGTGTCTGCACATGTTCCTAATACCTATACTTGTTTCTGTGGTAAGTTTGCATACATTACAGAGTCTTTCACTTCATTTATTGTATCTCAGTGTGCTGTCTAGGAGAGGTAATCTGGTGGGCTTGTCTTAGAAGTTATTAGTAAGACTCTAAAGCTGTGAGACTCTGTAAGGACCTTACTAATGTGGTTCATCTCCCAGCTAGAGTCATGAGCTTTTGTGCTCTCAGCAGGCTGTTCTGGAGATAGGCTTATGATGCCAATCAGGCTTATGTCACTTCAGAATTGTGGTCCAGGTCTCCTTGGTCTTAGCTTAAGACAAGAGCTGACCATCTGGCAGAGGCAGTATCAATATGTGCTCCCGCTCATAACCAACTGCGACAGCTTTAACATTCCAGATTTGAACAGCATGAGTAAAGAGCTAGTATTTTATATTTATTCAAAAATAAGTCATTTTTTCTTCATATAATAATTTTTTTATAAACCAGCCTTACAAACTCATATCTTTACATCTTCCTTCTTTTTGGGATATTCCTATTTTTTAATAGCTCAGTTTTCCTATGTATTAGAAATCCTATGTAATTATAATCCTGATGCCCATTCCTGCTACTAGCTTATTTCCATCTTATTCCTGACATGTCTTCCCCCCGCCCCTGATTTTTTTGGGGGGTGTGTGTGCTGAGGATTGAATCCAGGACCTTGTGCTATGTGAGGCAAGCATTCTACCAATTGAGCTAAATCCCCAGCCCCTTCCTGCTGATTTGTAATGACTAACCTCTCCATATAGTCAATTTTTCAGATTTTGTTTCTTAACTATTTTATCTCCCTCCTTGAACCATGCATTTTTCCTCTTATCTCTGTTGTCTTGCTGGAACTATATTCAAAAGTCATCAGTTGACCCCCTTTGGGCAATATCAATGGCTGATTTATAAATTCTTAATCTTTTGGACAGTACACACCCTTGACGTGTTTACCATATGACCAGCTCTTCTGTTTGTTTCTGCATGCTCTCATTTTTCTAACCAATTTACTCATATCACTCCTTTCCCATTACTTAACTAAAAGCTTTCACCAAGAGTCAATCATTGACCATCTACTATCTTCTCAATTCCTTGGTGAACTCACTGACGATCAAGAATGTTCTTCCTCCTCTTTAAATTCTCATCCACTGCCAGGCATGCTGGCACACACCTATAACTAAGCAGCTCAGGAGGCTGAGACAGGAGGATCGCAAGTTCAAAGCCAGCCTCAGCAACTTAGAGAGGCCCTAAGTTAGCGAGACTTTGTCTTAAAAAAATTTTAAAAAGGGCTAGGGATGTGGCTCAGTGTTTAAGTGCCCCTGGGTTTAATCCCTAGAACTAAAAATAGTTTTAAAAAATAAATTCTCATCCACTTGCTAATCAGGGTGTGATCCCCAATCCCCTCTTCCAGTAAATAGGAATCTATAATGAGTGCGATAGAAAGGAAAAGGTAAACATTTTAAAGGTAAGCAGGAATGAACAGCAATAGGAAAGGGAAGAACTCAAACATAAAGTTTCATGCTTTTAGAAATGGTGATATCAGGGAAAAGGGTGGATCAAGAGAATCAGTAGGGACAATGAATTCAGGTTAGAAATACTGAGTTGGGTGAATGTGCAGAATATCTAGTAAAGAATGTCTAATAGGCAGGTAGGAATATATTCAAAAAAAGATAAAGACTTAGGATGAAAGTTGCAATTGAGAGGAGTAGGTAAGACCCTACTGGAAAAAAAGGATAAGGAATAAGGAAAGAGTATAATACAGAATCCTGGCAGGGAAAAGACAACTATCACTGTGACTCAGGCAGAAGTGGTGGAGGCATCAAAAGATGTTAGGGCCAAACTGGAGCACTATATTGGAACAAGAAAACACAGCTGCAGCTTTCCTGATACCCTGTCGTGAGATTTTAGCAGATAGTGAGACAAGAGCAGGAGTAGGAGGAGAGATAGGAGAGAGTAACTAAGGAAGAATTGACAAGACTTGGTGACTAATTACAATGTGGAAAGAAAAAGAGGAATTAATAATGACTAGTTTTTGAGTGTTACTCTGACATTGATGCTGTCATTGATCAAAATAAGGAACACTGAAGAGGGAGAGCCTTTTTTTTTAATTTTTTTTAAGTTATATATAACAATAGAATCTATTTTGACATAATTATAAAAGCATAGAATATAATCTTGCTCTAATTCAGACTCCATTACCTCTCTTTTCCCTTCCTGAGGGAGAGGCTTTAGAAAGAAGATCTGAACTCTTGCTGTAGATAAGTCAGTTATATGTGACTGAAATCCCAAGCAGAGGTGTTCAGCAGGTGGCTAGACATGTGAGACTGAAATTGAAGATTCAAGGCAAGGCAGAAAATGTAGATTTGTGAATCACTTGGACTTTGCATTATTGAATCTCTCAATATGAATAAAATTTCTAAAAGAGACCATATAGAGAGAAAAGGTGAGAGCATGGAGTGGAGCTGGCTGCCATTTCATGTCTAAATTACCCAAGTGAGGATGAATTCTTCAAGGACAAGGAGGAGTCTTGTAACTTGGATTTTGTTCTTCCCTGCCTCTGTTAAGTCTGAAGAAGATGCTCAGTAAAGATTTGATTATAAAATTATAATGCTTTTTATGCCTATTTTATAGCTTTAGAATAGGTGAGAATTTATGTCCTTTCCATCTTATGGCCTCATCCCCTTTTCCCCAATTCTCTTTCCTTATTTCTTTTATTTTCTACCTATTTATTTTTGTGGCACTGGGTATTGAGCCCAGGGCCTTACGCATGCTAGGCAGGTGCTATACCACTGAGTTACATAACCAGCCCACTAGCCCGCTTTTCCTGTTTCTTTCTAATCCTTACCATAGATTTTCTAGGAGCCCATTTACAGGATGTTTATCTAGCAGATATTTATCTGAGATTAAATGTGCTCATTAATCAAATGAAAATAGCACTTTCATAAGTAAAAATGACTTTATTTCTGCCAGGCGCAGTGGCGCACACCTGCAATCACAACAACCCAGGAGGCTGAGGCAGGAGGATCACAAGTTCAAAGTCAGTATCAGCAGCTTAGTGAGACCATGTCTCAAAATAAAACATACAAAAGGACTGGGGATGTTGCTCAGTGGTTAAGCACCCCTGAGTTCAATCCCTGGTACCAAAAAACACCTTTTTCTCTTTCCTATGTAAGCTGGAATTTAAGATTCAGTGGAGCTTTTGATGAATAGCATTACATTTCTTTTTATTGTAGGATGTGAAATAATGAATTTGTTGAACTAATGAAAACCACACTTGAAGTTTCATGCTTTCTAGCTATTCTGTACTATTTCATTAAAGTTGAGAATATGGTTGAAATCTGTAGCATTGACTCTCTGATCTGATATATTTTAGGCAAAGTAAAGAATCCTGAATGGAGCAGAAATGAAATTCCACATAGTTGTGGTGAGGTTTGTAGAAAGAAACAGCCTGGCCAGGACTGCCCACATTCCTGTAACCTGTAAGTTGGAATACTAGACCTCTGGAGATTCCTGGTGTACGTGCCTTGCTATTAGCTATAAAGTACACATACCTGGTTAATATGTAATAGATCAGGGGAAGGGTGATATGGTACCATTTACTTAGCACTTACTGTGCACTGGGCATTCTACATAAGGTAATTTGTTCAATTTTTAACATAGCTCAGTGATGTGTAGATATGTGTCATCTCCACTTTACAGATGAGGTTTAGAAAGGCCAAGCCTCTTGCCCAACATCGCAATGTTAGGACATGGTAGAACTATAATTTTCAAAGCCAATGATCCTTCCACAGCATTGCACCATTTCTAAAAAGACATGAGAATCAGATATTTTATCTCCTAGCAATATCTAATATCCAGGTCCAAGAGAGAATGCATATGACAGCCTTTGGTCTGAGGAAAGATAATTGCATAGCATCTTGTCTGACAGTATTTTTATGATATAAATACTTTCTATACAATAAATAGCCAGGGTTAAGATGTACCAAATCAGCCTCTTTAAAAAAAAAAAAATTGGTCATAGAGAAAGAATTGATCAGTTTCAAATAAATGTCTGTGGACTGCTTTGACCCCAGACAAAGATTTAAATCTGCGTTTGAATCAAATATTTACATGACCTCAGACAAATTATTTCTCTAAGCCTGGATTTCTGCATTTGTAAAATAATAATGATTTGAATAATAGTACTTAACTCACAGGGTTCTGTGGAAAAATAAATAAATAAATGAGCCGGGTGGTATAGTGCACACCTGTAATCCCAGAGGCTCGGGAGGCTGAGGCAGGAGGGTTGCAAGTTCAAAGCCAGCCTCAGCAAAAGTTAAGCACTAAGCAACTCAGTGAGATCCTGTCTCTAAATAAAATACAAAATAGGGCTGGGGATGTAGATTGGTGGTTGAGTGCCCCTGAGTTCAATACCCCGCCCCCAAAAAAGTGATACAGATCAGATAGTCAACACCATGTCTGAAAGGAAGGATGCTCTAAAACACATTGTTTTGCAGCTTTGCAAATTCCACACTTGATTTGGAAATTGTCTTTTTATTGCAGTCAGGACCTCAAATGTTGATGAAACCCATTCCCCAACAGCACTTTCTTGATCTCAAAGAAAGTTTGAAGTTTCTCTTTTTTATCCTTATCAAGACTTCAAAGCCACAACTGACCCCTTTCTCTATTTGGGGTTGCATAGGTAGTAAAATTCCCTCAAACAATTGTTCTCAACCCTAGCTACATATTAAAATTACTTAGGGAACATTTTAAAACACAATTAACTCAGTCTCTATCTTCCAGCAATCGAATCAGAACCTATAAGGTTGGGTCCTGAACCTCTGTAGTTTTAAAAGCTCTCCAGGTAATTCCAGTATATAGTTAGCACTGTAAACCCTGCTGTAAAGGTTAAGAAACTTAGTTCAGCTTTTGGCAATATTTGAAATTACCACACCTGACCTGTGGTTTGTCTCATTAAAAGTTGATTAAATTCTTTTGCCTGACAGGGTTGTGACATACCATGTGAAATATTACTTTTGAATAAATTATAATCTTCTTTAAAGACATGCTTAAACTAAAGTTTCCTGTGGGTGCTATCAAAGTGGTCACTTTTGAAAACTAGGTGCTTATTCCTGGATTGTTACCAATGTTTAAACCTTATTTAAAAGGTACCAGAAAGATTGGAGATGTAGCTCAGTGGTAGAGTGCTTGCCTAACATTTGCAATGCCCTGGGTTCAATCTATAGCACCAAAAAAAACAAACAAAAAAAAAAAAAACAGAGCTGGTGAGTCATGTATAAAACCAAAAATTCCAGCCAGACTACTTTGTAGGCACATCTGGTTTGTTTTGCACAAAATTCTGTTACCCATGCAATTAATTAGACTGGCCTCAGATTGGCTTTTAATTCTCAAAGGATTATACTTTAGCATCACTTAAAATGCCCTATTTCACCAAAAATGTTATAGAAGTTCCCCAAATGTTGTAAGTAGTGGTATTTCTGAACCATTGTATAATTTACCAGGATATCTGCTTTGAAAAAGGCAATATTTATTTGAATGTACAAATTCCATTTTGCAATTTTTTCTGTTGGCCTCTATAATGTAGTTCCTATAAAAAGCATTCTGTTCAGAGTTCTAATTCTGACCTGTAGTATATCACTAAGCTCAATCTTTTCCATGACCCCTGGTCCCTTCCTTCTCTCCCTTTTTTGCTTACCAGGGTCCACCCCCTTATAGCAATCTTTTTTTCATTCTTCCCATTTTTTGCCCACTGCCTAGTGATCATTTCAGTAGTTGATGAGAAAATGTCTATGCTTGTCACGGACCTAGTGGAGCTGAGCTCTGTCACATTGCTCAGATTGTCATCCTACCTGGCACCTGAAAGGCACAATTGTGTGTGTGTGTGTGTGTGTGTGTGTGTAGTACTGAGTATTGAATTCAGAAGCTTGTGCATGTTAGTCAAGTATTCTACTACTGAGGTATTTTTATCCCTACCCACTGCTGTAAATGGGCCAAGGCCATATTTGAAAATATCATCTTTGACTATCAGACCCAAATAAAACTAGTATTTTGACTTGGGCTTTACTTTTCCAGTTAAATGTTCTAAAACGATAATGCAGTTAATATTTTCTACATAAAAGTATGGTTGGTTTTCTTTAGGGAAATAACTTAGACATAATAGTAGGTTTATTTTTTGCCATGTTCACAATAGGACCCAGTTATATTGCTTTGTTTTGGTTTGGGCACAAAGTATGGTTTGTTCATTGAAGCCTTTGTTTTTCAGTCTCTGTCATCCTGGTCCCTGCCCACCCTGTCCTGCTTTTATGACTAAAACGTGCGAATGTGGACGTACCAGGTAAAGTTAGAATAGCACTGTTTCCACATCTGTGATTTACTTGTGAATTTCTAAAATAAAAATTAGTAAATATAATTAAATGGTAAGTGTAAAGAAAAAAAATCATCTCTTGGTATCCATAGACGATTGATTCTAGGACCCCCGAGGGTAAAAATCCACAAATGCTTAAGTCATTTTTATAAAGTGATGGGGTAATTGCATATAACTTATATACAATCTCCCATGTACTTTAAATCATCTCTGTATTATATTGCCTAAGACAATATAAATGCTGTAGAAATAGTTGTTACACTATATTGTTTAAGAAATAATTACAAGAAAAAAGACCATACATGTTCAGTATAGACACAATTTTTTTTTAATATTTTTTATTTGCTCTTGATTGAATCTGTGGATACAGAACTCACAAAGGGAGAACAGTAGTACTTTTTTATAAATAATAATTTCCTGTGATGCTCCTGATCCTGCTTTGAAATCTTATATAAGTAATTAAGAAATTGTATGCACAGTGAGATTGTAAGATTACCTATTCAGGTGAAATGCCAATGGGACAGGGATTTTTATTAACCTTTCTAATGGGTGACAGAACCAGGAATTGAACCCAGGCCTGCTAAGATCATGGACTCATCATTATTGCATTATTGCATCATGAATTCATCATTATTGCAAGGATCATTGATAACTGTGGAGTGTCTCTGAGGCCCAGGAAGATGTTAAAATGATTTCTGAACCTTGAAACAAGATGGGATCATGCAGATTTCAGTGATTTGCGTTTGTAGTAGTGTGGCCTAAAAGACATGAGAGAGTTCTGAGTCAGAAGATCAAATCTGTGCTTTACTACTTACTGGCTATTGATTCTAAGAAAGTTGTTTGATCTCACTGAGACTCACTTTTCTCATTATAAAGTAGAAATAAGGGACTCGGGTTGTGGCTCAGTAGTAGAGCGCTCACCTAGCACATGCAAGGTGCTTGGTTCAATCCTCAACACCACATAAAAATAAAAAAATAAAGGTATTGTGTCCAACTATAACATATATATATATATATTAGAAATAATAAATAGTTGAAGGGTTGAAATTAACCATGGTGCTAGGCACATGGTAGCATAATAGGCCAGTGGTAGCCATTATACTGAGCACTGCATTTTGATCATTTATGTACATAACAATGACTTTTGTTTTCTTTTTTGGTTTATGTTGTGTTTTATTTAACTGTAATCAAAATAAATGCATGGAACATGCGCATACATACCCACACAAATTCAATTTGAATTCAATAATGACTTTTTAAACAAAATATATATTTGAAATGGGAGGGGTAAAATTAAACTCTTCTTGCAGGAGAATAGACTAAACTATCATCTGGAAAGACACCTGAAGACAATATCTAAAAGCCATTAAGTCTTGCACATGCTAGGCGAGGGCTCTACTAAGCTACATCCCCAATCTGGGTGTTAATTAAAACAAAGTTAGAATTGGCTTATCCACCCTAAATCAAAATCTTGTCTGTCATGTTTATATTTATATAAGTATTATATCAGAATGAAATGCCAGGGTGCTGGGCCCCATGAAAATGCCATTGTGCTTTAATTCTCAATACATCAAATCTGAGTACATTAGTATTATGTTTTCTTCGTACCCTATCTGTACGGTATTATGGGAGCCCCAAGCAGAGCTAGGATTAGAATTTGAATCTTCTCCCCTCTCATCCTGGAGCTCTTTCTACTCCTGCATGCTCCATCATGGAACTCAGATAAAATTACATAGAATGAGTTCTTAGGAATAACCTTTAATTCCTCACTGATTAGAAAATAGAGAGAAAAGAAGCCTGGGTAATAAGAAAGAAAAAGTGAAGAAGAAGAAGAGGGTAATAAAAGAAATAAGAACTGGAGGAAGGAGATATATAGAAAAGCCAAACACAGTGACACATGCTTGTAATTCCATCCCAGCTACTCAAGAGGCTAAAGCAGGAATATTACAAGTTTGAGACCAGCCTGGGCGCTTAATGAGACTTGTCTCAGAATAAATTAAAAGGACTGATGTTGTAGCTCAGTGGTAGAGCCTAGCTTGTGCAAGGTCCTGGGTCAGTCCCTAGTACTACAAAAAAGAAATGAAAGAAGGCGGGAGGGAGGGAGGAAGGGAGAAAAAAGAACTGGGGCGACAGGGTCAATAAACAGGTTTAGTAGGTTTTGGGGGAGAGGTTTGGGCTTCAGTGTTAGTTTAACTGTATAGCAGGAACCTTTAGACTGATGTTGTCTTTGTTATCTACTACTGTCTTTGCAGGCACACAGTTCGCTGTGGTCAGGCTGTCTCAGTCCACTGTTCTAACCCATGTGAGAATATTTTGAATTGTGGGCAGCACCATTGTGCTGAGCTGTGCCATGGGGGTCAATGCCAGCCTTGCCGGATTATATTGAACCAGGGTAAGTGGTATGCACATCAGCTAGGAAAGCTTTTGATTTTTTTTCTGGAATTATATGGCATGTGAATTATATTGCAGTAAAACTGTGTTATAAAAAAACAATGTGGAAGGAGGGTCAAGGGGAAGCAGAGAAAAACCAAATCCATAATGAAGTATCTATTTGCACTTTCAAGAATGTTTAAAATAAAAAATAAAAGACTAGTGATCAAATGTTGGCAAGTGTAGGTAACTAGAGTTTTCATGTATTGCTGGCAGATATATAAAATGAGAAAACCACTTTGGACAATTTCTTATAAAATTAAACCTGTAACCAGCCATCCCTTTTTGCTGTTTTCATAACTAAGTCACAAAAAGACTTGTATGGGATTATGGGAGTTGGGGGACAGGGGGTGTTGTTTTTTGCAGTATTAGGGATTGAATCCAGGGTCTTGCACTTGCTAGGCAAGGGCTCTACTAAGCTACATCCCCAGCTTAGTAGATCCCCATTAATATGTTTTTAATAAGAACCCCAAACTAGAAACAACAGCCAAATGTCCATTTATGGAAGAAGGAATGGATAAATTATGGTATTTTCTTCTTCTTTTTTTTTTTTTTGTTGTTGTTGTTGTTGCTGCCTAGGCTATCCTTGAACTCCCAGGCTCAATCAACCCTACCTCAGCTTCCCCAGTAGCTAGGACTACTGATACAAGCCATAGTGCCCAGCTAAGGCCTTTTTAGTCTTGATGCAGTTTGGGCTTTTACTCAGGTCTTTTTTTTGTACAAATTTGTATCCTAGTTGAAGTCTTAAACCCAGTTGAAGTCTTTTTGTCTGCATTAAATAAGGAAATATTTTGGTCACACGTAAAGCTTATCTTCTGTAGTGCTAATTCTTTTCAGATTCCCTTCATTCAGCCTTATTTAGAGATGTGTTAAGCATTCCTTCTGGATGTTCATTCATGTGTTTTGAAAATGCTGAACAGATTACAACTGACAACAGAGTTCTTCCTCAGGACTGTTTTTGGCTCCCTAACACAACTTGTGACAACTTGTGCCCAAGTATGACAAAGCTTTTTAGTATTTTACTCAGGTTATTTTCTGATTGTCCAGGAGCTCCATTTTATTTTTATTGTCACAGTTTTCTGACCCTTAACTTTTTTTTTTTTTTTTTTTTTTTGAGAGAGAATTTTAATATTTATTTTTTAGTTTTCGGCGGACACAACATCTTTGTTTTGTATGTGGTGCTGAGGATCGAACCCAGGCCACACGCATGCCAGGCGAGTACACTACCGCTTGAGGCACATCCCCAGCTCCTGAATCTTAACTCTTTATTTACAGTTGTTTGTTCATTACCTCTGAAAAAAGTTTCTGTTCTGTTGGAGCATAAACTTAGCAAAGGAAACATTGCTCTCCGATACTCCTATTTGCCTAGGGTTTATTTACTAATTCATTGATTCCACAAATATTGTTTCCTACATCTATATTAAATTTTTGGGGGGGTGAATGAATGAATTTTAGAATGGGATTAAGTTGCACATTACTTAATTCAAGATGAAATGTATATTTTATCTAGATTATGTCTTCAGTGACTTGAGGCTTTCCTTTTCCCAGGTCTCAGTAGAAGGTTTTAGTTCTGTTTAGTATACAATTTTATTTTAGAAATGTTATTTCTAATGTTTTATTAGAAGCATTCTATTTTATTTCTTATTTCATATATATAAAAAATAAAAAGGACTGGGTATGTAGCTCAGTGGTAGAGTATACCTGGATTCAATTCATAGTACCATTGGGAGACAAAAGACTTGATGTTTTTATAATGTTACATTTATTCTGATAGATTTTGTGTACAGTAGGTATCTAAATTGCCCTTGGAAGAAGGAAAATATCATTAGATCTGCAGAATTTCAGTTTAGTTTCTACTATTCTGATCACCATTTATTATAAAGGATATACTTGCATAGGTTAATTTATAAGATAAATTTTCACTATAAAATAAAAGTATAAAGGGGCAGGAAAATTATGTATGTAAATTGATACATATTTATGTATCAGAAACATTTCTGCAAAGAGTATCAAATAGCTCAGTGATAGAACACTGGACTAGCATATGTGAAAGACCCTAGGTTGGATCCCTAAAAAGTCTTGAATTCTTCGAAATTTTTCACTCAGTGTATTCAAATTTAACAGAGAAATATATGGATTATTAAGGATCTAATACTATTGTGATAATTTTTTCTTTAAAAAAAATTGAAGTATCAGGGACCTTTTTTTCAAGCATTTTATGTAAAACCCAGAATTTAAAGTATCATATCTATACTGTTTGTGTTGAGATGAGGATGGGTATCAACCCCTCTACCACTACTACTAGCTAAGCTCATCTATCTCCTATGACAGTACCCCATGGAGCTTCACAGTCTGGCTTTAGGGGCCAGGTAGTCTTTAAATTTGAGAGTTGCTTCACTCTGATGTTGTTTTTAGGGTGTGCTACAGAGGCACTATGAGACTGACAGAGCCTAACGAAGCCTTTTTTTTTAAACTATTAGGTGGGACTTTGAGCTCCTGTACAAAGCACATTAATTTCTGAATCAGGCCTGATCAGCACTTATGAAAAACATTTTTTTGTTTTCTTGTAGATTATTTGAAATATTTTAAGAGCATCTATAGGTTATTAATCTGTTGTTTTTGAAATTGTGTCCTCAAGTATGCTACTGTGGCAGCACCTCCAGAGATGTGTTATGTGGAACAGACATAGGAAAGTCTGATGGATTTGGGGACTTTGGCTGTTTAAAGATATGTGGCAAGTAAGGTTTTACATTTTCTTCTATTAGAATAAAACTGAATTTTATGCAACAATTATGTAATAATCTGTTCTTTTTCTTAACAGGGACTTGAAATGTGGGAGCCATACCTGTTCTCAAGTGTGCCATCCTCAACCCTGCCAGCCTTGCCCACGGCTCCCCCATCTGGTGCGCTGTTGCCCTTGTGGCCAAACCCCTCTCAGCCAATTGCTAGAACTCGGAAGTAGCGGACGGAAAACATGCATGGACCCTGTTCCTTCATGTGGAAAAGTGTGTGGCAAGCCTCTGCCTTGTGGTTCCTCAGGTAACTAATTTGTATAAAGTTGTCATCTGGGTACAGTCAAATACAACTCTGATCCCAGCAACTTGGAAGACTGAGGCAGGAGGATCAAGAGTTTGAAGCCAGCCTGGGAAATTCAGCAAAACCCTGTCTCAAAAAATAAAAAGTATTGAGCATATAGCTCACTGGTAGAGTGCCCCTGGGTTCAGTCTCCAGTACCAAAAACAAAACATTTTTATTATGTGGCAGCAATGACATTTTAGCGAAGTAGTATTAAAAACCAGTTATCAGTGTTCTTTTAAATATTATTTTCAAATTTGTGTAGGTACTCTGTCTTTACACTTACATTTGTCCAAGTGATCTCTCCAATTCAGGTATTTTTATTGTCAATTCTGGACAACTGATGAGATACTGATATGTACAATAAAATTTCAGCCTCTTAGACCATTCATAGAATGTCACTTTCTATAATAGCTAGTTACCCATGTAACTAAGGGTAAATTTAAATTATAACAATGTAATGTTCAGTTTGTAATATATATAGATACATATAACAATAGCATAAAAAGGGAGAAGAAGAATGAAGCTTTATAGGAGTAGAGCATCTGTATCTCACTGGAATTAAATCCAAAATAGATTCTGATGAGGTGATTATGATAAGATTTAGAGCAACCATTAAGAAAATAGCTCAAGCCAGGCAGAGTGGTGCACACCTGTATCTCAGCAACTCAAGAGGCTGAGGGAAGAGGGTTGCAAGATCGAGGCCAGCTTCAGCAACTTAGCAAGATCCTGTCTCAAAATAAAAAATAATATATTGGACAAATTAGTCCTAATTTTATCATCTCTAATTTCTATATATTAAAGAGGTCACTAGTGTAAAAAGTAAACAAATAAAAAGAGCTGGCAATATAGCTCAGTGGTAAAGTGCCCATGGGCTTTAACACACACACACACACACACACACACACACACTGGCCACCAAAAAAAAGATACAGTGAGGCTGACCATTAAAGGATGGAGATAGTACATTATGTAAACAGTAACCATAAGAAAGAGACTAAGGGGATATAATTTAGTGGTAGAACACTTGCTTAACATGCCTAAGGCCCTAGGTTCAACCCTTAGTACCAATAAAAAAAAAAAAGAAAAGAAAGAAATAAGGGTTGGAGGGTACAGCTCATAGTTAGAGTATTTGCTTAGGATATTTGAGGCCCTGAGTTTAATCCCCAGCACTACAAAAAAAGAGAGACTCTGGGTGATCTCCAAGAGGTCCTTGAAAGAGGATTTGTTCAAAATCTTGTTTAGTTCAGTTAATGCAGGCCACTCATTGCCAGATGTTCACAGTATTTAAATCGGTGAGATTATGGATTATGGCTTCTGAGTTATCTCTGATTCATTCCCCAGATAACTTCCAGAGTGTTTCATTCATCCATGGCTACACTTTTAAGGGGATCTGAATCTAATCTGCAGACTTGGGGTTTAAGGGCTTAACAAGAGTCAGAACTTTTTTTCCTTTCATGAAGTACTGTGGATGGAACCTAGGGGTGCTATACCACTTAACTAGATCACCAAGCCTTTTTATTTTTTTTAAGTTTATTTTCTTTTCCCAGCCCTTTCTATTTTGATTTTGAGACAGTGTCTCACTAAATTGTTGAGACTAGCCCCCAACTTGTGGTCCTCCTGCCTCAACCTCTGAGTGCTTGGGATTACAGGTGAGGACCCCCATGCCCAGCTGAAAAATCTATTCTTTGCTAGTGTGGTGGCGCACACCTGTAATCCCAGCAGTTCAGGAGACAAGCTGGAGGATCACGAGTTCAAAGCCAGTCTCAGAGTGAGGCCCTAAGCAACTCAGCAAGACCCTGTTTCTAAATAAAATATTTAAAAAGAACTGAGGGTTCTTTTTAAATATTTTATTTTAAAATAGGGTTTCTGGGGTTGTGGCTCAGTGGTACAGAGATCGCCTAACACATGCTAGGTGCTGGGTTCGATCCTCAGCACCACATAAAATAAATAAGTAAAATTAAGATATTGTGTCCAACCAGAACTAAAAAAAAAGTATTAAAAGGGGGGTGGGGGGCACTGGGGATGTGGCCTTATGGTTAAACACCTCTGGGTTCAATCCCTGGTACACCTCTCCCCCACACAAAAAAAGTTTAAAAAAAAAATTATTCTTTGACAGGCAAAGCAGCATGCATGTCAGAGTATATTCCAGTGACTTATGATAGACCCTGTCCTCCTCTGTAAAGACCCAACCTACCAGATGATGGGAAAATAAGGGAAGAAGCATTGACTACATCCTTCCCTGGACTCTGAATGTGGAATTGCAGGAATAGAGATGTGCCGCAGTCTGGCTGGGCACAATCAGGAGCCACTTGTCAAAAGAAACTAACTTTATTTTTAGAACCACACAGGCCAAACAAAACAGCCTCTCAGGAAAAACCCTCAGAGCCTCAACTGCCACCACCGGCTTTCCACAAGCCTCTCTCTCCCCCACAAGCTTCTCTCCACCTCACACAATCCTCCTGCTCTTGAAGCCGATTGGCTGGGTCATGTGGGCGGAGCCAAAAAAGTCCCCCAATGAGCAGCTCCGTGGTCTGAAAGGGCAGGGAAACAGCCCAATGAGCATCACTGCAGAGGAGCCAATCAGCTAGATGTTGCTGGGGCCGCTGTGAGCCAATCATCAGCCGGCAGCTGGAAGTTTGCTGGGGCCCCTTGGGCTGTGGCTCTCAACATCTCCCCCTCTCTGTTTAAACAAAAAGCATGTGGCTTAGGGACCGTGCCTGCCTTAGGTTGTCCAATAGTACATATGGTCCTTACCCGTTAGGTTGGTACCATTGCAATTGGATCTTACCCGTCATTGACTACCGGTCCAATATACAGCCACACCTGTGGAGAGGTCTTTGTACCAGCGGGGGGGTGAGGTTCTTTGCCTCACCTCTGTTGGCCCCCAAATTTTAGCTGGACAATCATGACAAACAGAAGGGAGGAAGATACACCAAGCCAATTGACGGCTCCCTTTGGAAAAATTGTACCACCGATGACACCATCAGCAAAAATACCCCAACACTACCACAAGTCGCTCCACCAACAGATAGTTCACAATGCACACAGGTGAGTTCACAAGGTGTCCAGGCAAGTTCTGCAAGCAGTTCAGTGATGGCTATTGCAGAAGCTGTAGATTGGTTTTATCCTTGACTTCACCAGCACTGGGATGAAGATAGGAATTCTGGCAATAATGGCTAAAGAAAAAATTATGTAACATTACAGAAGGCACCAAAAGAAAACAATTCTCTTAACAATTTACATTATCTTTAAGAGAATTATTAAATATAATGAAAAGGAAAGGTGAAAGTAAACAAACAGATCTGCCAACCTTCTTTTTTGTTTACATATTAAAACAATCCTCAACAGTTGTCCACCCAATCCAAACCAAACCATATAAATCACGTGAAAAAAAAAATATTTGGATCCATATTATCATGAGCGCTCATCATATATGATATATGGACATACGTACATTCAAACATATAACACAAAACACAAGTGTGCACACATAATATAATACATACAACACATAACATTATAGTAAACGCCTTATAACTTTTTACAGGTGAAATCTCCATTGCAATGTTTAAAAACTCTATAGTCAAAAAATAGAACTGATCAGCAAAACATTAACCTAGGTCTGTATGAGCTCAAAAGACAAAATAGAACTTCATGATATGGCAAAGGGCAATAATAAAATAGATATTGAAAAAAGCATCCTTGTTCTGTTGCAGATGTAAGAATAGCCAAACTGGAGTTTTGGATATCAGTTGTTATGGATTTGAGCCAAATCATCTTCTTTTTGGTCTGTAGAAATCGCTTTAGTTAATCTTTCTGGAATCCAAATCGGCTGCTGTTCTCCCTGTGGAAACACATAAACAGACCGCCGACTCCAGACAATCACTGGGTCAGGACCTTGGTTAATCTCTCTGGAATCCAAATCGGCTGCTGTTCTCCCTGTGGAAACACACAAACAGACCCCCGACTCCAGACAATTACTGGGTCAGGACCTTTCCATTGTCCTGTTAGAATATCCTTCCAAAGTACCTTGGGCTTATGTACATTTTTTGGACACATATGCCTTTCCGCAGCACTAAGTCCTGATGAATCCAAATTTAAAAAGTTTAGAGTAAAAAGGGTTATTTTAAGTTTATCTTTGGGGAATATATACCCCTTCCCAATTCCTTCTTTTTGCTTTAATAAGTACATTTTAATAGTTTGATGAGCTCTTTCAACTATGCCTTGTCCCTGTGGATTGTATGGGATTCCTGTTATATGAGTAATGCCAAATGTTGAGCAAAATTGTTTAAAAGAGGTAGAAGTATAACCAGGGGCATTATCTGTTTTTAACTGTTTTGGAACACCCACAGTGGCAAAATTTTGTAAGCAATGAGCTATAACATCTTTAGTTTTTTCTCCGGCATGAAGGGAGCCCATCAAAAATCCAGAAGAAGTATCAACTGTAACATGCAAATATTTTAATTTTCCAAATTCTGGCAAGTGTGTGACGTCCATCTGCCAAATATGGTTAGGTATCAATCCTCTAGGATTGACTCCAAGATTAACTTGTGGTAAAAAGGTCACACAATTTTGACATTATTTTATTATTTGTCTAGCTTGTTCCTTAGTTATTTTAAAACGCTTTTGTAAAGTATTAGCATTGACATGGAACCTTTTATGAAAATTTATAGCTTCTTCTAGTGTAGAGAAAATATGTATGTCATGTGTAGTTTTATCTGCTAAATCATTGCCCAAACTAAGGGCTCCAGGCAATCCTGTATGTGCCCTGATATGTCCTATAAAGAATGGATCTTTTCTATCCCAGATTAGACTTTGTATAGTGGAAAACAAAGAGAAAACAGTAGAAGAAGGGGAAATCCTACCAGCATCTTCAAGAGATACTATAGCATTAACTACATACTGACTATCAGAAAATAAATTAAATACAGAATCTTTAAACATCACAGAAGCTTGTAAAACTGCATTAAGCTCTACCTTTTGAGCTGATTGTTTGGGTAGTAAAAATGTAAAAGTTTGATCAGGGCTAACTACTGCTGCTGTACCATTATTTGACCCATCAGTGAATATATTTGGAGCATTCATGATAGGTGTTTTTCTTGTCATTTTTGGAAAAATTACAGGATGCAATGACCAAAAAGACAATAAAGGATTAGATGGTAAGTGGTTATCAAATGAAACATTAGATTTGCACATGATTATTGCCCAAGTATTTAACTCATTAGCTAACTCATCAATTTGATTCATAGTATATGGAGTAATAATTTTATTGGGAGAAATTCCAAACACTCCCTTTGCTGCTTTTATTCCTTTGAGTATTAATTGTCCTACAGCCTCAGGATACCTAGTAAGAATAGTGTTAGGAGAATAAGATAAATGTATCCATAATAATGGACCTTCTTGCCAAAATACTCCTGTAGGAATATTTTTTGTTGGTAGTACAATAAGTAATAAAGGCAAACTTATATCAATTCTATCCAAATGCATATTTTCCATATATGTTTCAATGATTTTTAATGCCTTTCTTGCTTCAGGCGTTAACATTCGGGGTGAATTTGGATCTGATGGACCTTTTAGGATATCAAATAAAGGTCCCAACTCTCCTGTTGGTATACCTAAATAAGGCCTTATCCAATTTATGTCTCCTAATAACTTTTGAAAGTCATTAAGTGATTTGAGTTGATCTACTCGTATTTGAATTTTTGGTGGACGGACCATGGTTGAGGATAATAGAACTCCTAAATAATTAATTGGAAAATTTAATTGTACTTTATCTATTGCTATCTCTAGATTATAATTTTTTAATAAGTTTGTAAGTGTGGCATAACATTCTAGCAATGTGTTTTTATCTTTGTGTGCTAATAATACATCATCCATATAGTGAAATATTTGTAGTTCAGGATTTTGATTTCTAAGTGGCTGGATTGCTTTGTTAACATAAATTTGACACATAGTTGGGCTGTTAGCCATCCCTTGAGGGAGTACTTTCCATTCATATCTCTGATCAGGACCTTCATGATTCAGTGCAGGGATAGTAAATGCAAAACGTGGACTATCCTCAGGATGAATTGGAATTGAAAAAAAACAATCTTTAATATTTATAACTAAAACATACCAGGTTTTTGGCAAAGCAGACAATTGAGGAATCCCTGATTGAGCAGGTCCCATAATAACCATCTCATTATTAATGGCTCTTAAATCTTGCAATCATCTCCATTTACCAGATTTCTTTTTGATGACAAAAATGGGAGTATTATGGGGAGATACAGAAGGTTGTATATGTCCTTCTGCTAATTGTTGTTTGACCAGGTCATGGGCTGCTTGTATCTTTTCTTTAGTCAGGGGCCACTGAGGAACCCATACTGGTCTTTCTGATTTCCAAGTAATTTTTATTGTCTCAGTGGCCCTTTCTGAAAATCCAACCCATGTCTGTCTGTTCCTTGATCTATTTGTATTGGTGCCGCTATACCTTGTTCTTGTTTTTCTAATCTTTTTCCTTTCCTAAAACCTTGTCTAGTCATAATAGTGGGTGCATTTTGGTTGATGTTATTTGTTAATGTCAAACCTAATTGATCTAGGACATCTCGTCCCCATAAATTTACGGGAAGATGATCCAATACATATGGCTGTATAGTTCCTTCACATCCTTCAGGATCCTTCCAATCTAATACCATTGCACTTCTATGGGGATTAGTTGCCACTCCTAGGCCTCGAAGCGTTTGAGTGGCTTGTTGTAATGGCCAATGTTTTGGCCATTCTTGACGAGAGATGATGCTAAGGTCTGCACCTGTATCCGGTAGCCCATTAAATTCATGTCCTTGAATATTTAGTTTTAGCATGGGGCGAGAATCTAAATTTAAAGAAAGCATAGCCCAATCTACACCTGTGGAGCCTAATCCCTTGGAACCTCTTTCTACAGTACGACTGGAAAATTTATCATGTAGGCTGGGTATTATTAGTAACTGTGCTATTCTATCTCCTGGTGAAATTACTGATATACCCTTTGGAGAACTGGCTATAATTTTTATTTCACCTTCATAATCGGGATCAATTACCCCAGGACTTATCATAAGTCCTTTTAGAGTAGAAGAGCTGCGTCCCAATAATAAGCCTACTGTTCCTTTGGGAAGAGGTCCTTTCACCCCTGTGGGAATGATTTGAACTCCCATCTCTGGAGTTAGTACTGCTCTGGCGGAGGCGCAGATGTCCAACCCTGCGCTCCCTCTGGTTTGTCTGATGAGGGATCAGATGGACAATGTGTCCTGGGCACTACCCTGATGGGGTTGCTGGGTTCCTCCAGTGCTCCGTATATTTGTGGTTTTGGGCCCCGGAGCATTGGGCCCCCCTGTCCATTTTTTGGCAATGGAGCCCGATGCCTTTCTCCACGATATCGTGGATAAACACCTGGTCCTTGTTCGTTTTTTGATAATGGAGTACCCTCTATGGTGGTTTGAGAACGGCATTCATTAGCCCAATGTCTCCCTCTACGGCATCGTGGGCAAATACCTGGTATTCTACTCCTTTGATACCTAGTTTTGTTAAACCCTCCTCCAATGGGGCAATTCCTTTTAAAATGTCCTGTTTGTTCACAATTGTAGCATGTTCTTGGCCTGGCATCTAAAGCCTGTTTTACTGCAGCTGCCACAATTTGCCCTTGTTCATTAATGTCTCTGGCATCTAAAGCCTGTTTTACTGCAGCTGCCACGACTTGCTCTTGTTCATTAATGTCTCTACATAATTTAATATATGTGTTTAAATCTTCATGTTTCCATGGTCTAATGATATCTCTGCACCAACGATTCGCTTGCTCATAAGCCAGGTGTTTTAGTAATGGCATTGCTTGTTCTGTATTCCCAAAAACTCTGGTAGCTGTTTGAATAAGCCTATCTACAAATTCAGCATAAGGTTCATTAGCTCCTTGTATTACCTTAGATAATTGACCTTGTAAACCTCCATGTCCTTGTAAAGTCTTCCATGCCTTAATTGCATCTACAGCAATTTGTGCATATACACCAGGATCATATGCAATTTGTTGCTGCTGATCCTCATAAGGTCCCTTTCCTAACAACATATCTAGATTTGTCTGAGGATAACCAGCTGCTGTATTTCGCCTAGCCGTCTCCTTGCAAAATTCCTCATTGGCAACCTTCCATAACAGGTATTGTCCTCCATTTAGCACAGCTTTACACATATTAGCCCAATCTGCTGGCGTCATGTTCAAGTTGTTAATGGATTCGACCATGCTTACAGTGAAGGGTGCTTGAGGACCATAGGTTGTTACAGCCTCTTTTAGCTGCTTCACTGTTTTGAAATTTAAAACTTGGTAAAATCGCTGCCCTCCTGCCTCAAATACAGGGCATGTTAATATTTGAGATCTTGTCTCAGGATCCCAACTATCAACTGCGGGGGTTGGGGACCTCCCAGCATATGGAGGTGGCCTTGTTAGTTGGACACTTACGTCCTCTGGTGATAGAAAGGTGTTAGTAGCAGTCTCCTGTAGAGGTGGTGCTGTTGGTTGGACACTTACACCCTCTGGTGATAGAAAGGTGTTAGTAGCAGTCTCCTGTTGTAACTTTCCCCCTGATGGCTTTTTCTGTTTTACACTTTCTTTCTCTGTCTGACTAACTTGAGAGGCCTTCTCTTTTACTTGAATCTTTTCCTCTGTCTGACTAGCTTGAGAGGCCTTCTCTTTTACTTGAATCTTTTCCTCTGTCTGACTAGCTTGAGAGGCCTTCTCTTTTACTTGAATCATTATGTCTTCTCCTTCCTCTACCATTGTCTGAACTGAAGGCTTTGGACTAAGCAAACAAGATATGAACGTCCATTACTATATTTGGGAGTATGAAAATGAGTAAATGCAATTTTAATTCCAGCTCTTTTCGTTTTTATTAAAGATTTCATTCATACCTGTGAAAAGCTGTGCCATGAAGGAGACTGTGGCCCATGCTCTCGCACATCAGTTATTTCCTGTCGATGCTCTTTCAGAACAAAGGTAAATCCTAAACAATGCTAGAGTTGTTGTTGTTTGATTTATTTTGTTTATTCTAATTAGCTATATATGACAGCAGAATGCAATTCAATTCATATTACACAAATACAGCACAGTTTTTCATGTCTTTGGTTGAACATTGGGGATGTGGCCTGATGGTTAAAAAAAGTTGTTATCAGTGCCTTTTAAAATGGTGATTATGGGCTGGGGTTGTGGCTCAGTGGCCGAGCAGTTGCCTACACATATGAGGCACTGGGTTCGATCCTCAGCACCACATAAAAAAAAATAAACAAAATAAAGATATTGGGTCCATGTATAACAAAAAAAAGTATGTATATATTAAAATGGTGATTATGGGGGCTGGGGCTGTAGCTCAGCAGCAGAGCACTTGCCTCGTATGCGTGAGGCACTGGGTTCAATCCTCAGTACCACATAAAAATAAATAAAGATATTGTGTCCACCTAAAATAAAATATATATATAAAGCAAATAAAATATAAAGGTATTGTGTCCATCTACAACTACAAAAAAATTAAAAACAAAAAAATTGTGATTATGGGAGGGGAGGAACCAAAATAACCTTGATTTTATTTGTTTCATACTATATACGAATCTTTAAATCCAGCCAATGTATACTGATACATACTATGACTAGGATAGGTGTGAGGGGATTGCAGAACTCAAGGCTTAAAGGCACATAGCTGTATTAGGTATAATTATGAAAAGAGGAACAATAGCACTGTCTCAAGGAGTTAGCCAACTAAGCCAGAAGTGGTGGCTCACACCTGTGATCCCAGCAGCTCTGGAGGCTGAGGCAGGAGGATCATAAGTTCAAAGCCAGTCTCAGCAACTGAGCAAGGCACTAAGCAACTCAGTGAGACCCTGTCTATAAATAAAATACAAAAAAAGGCTGGGATTTGGCTTAGTGGTTAAATGCCCCTGAGTTCAATCCCTGGTACCAAAAAAAAAAAAAAAGGAATTAGCCAACTAAGAAGTTAGAGGAGCCAGATATGGTGGTGCACACCTATAACTGCACTCACTTGGGAGACTGGGGCAGGAGGATTGCAAGTTTGAGGCTAGCCTCAATAATTTAGCAATACTGTGTCTTATAGTAAAATTAAAAGGGGGTTTAGAGGGTGGAGGAGTAATTCATTGGTAAAGTGCCCTTGGCTTCAGACCTTTGTACCAAAAAAAGTTAGAGGGGACATAGTCCACAAGACTGTCCTCACTTCTAACCCACTTCAAGAATTTAGACAACTGCTAAAGTAGAACATTGACCACTCATTCCTGATATCAATTTCTGATGCAACTGCAAGTTCATTGATCCATAAGACCTCCTTCAAGGCTTTTAATTTGTTAGGATGACTCACTGAACTCACTGAAAACTACTATATTCATGGTTGTGGTTTTATTACAAGGAAAAGGATACAGATTAAAATCAGCCAAAGGTAGAAACCTGTAGGGTAGAGTCCAAGAAAGTACCATATGTGGAGCTTCTTTTCCCTCTTCCCTTGGAGTCAGAACAGTGTTACTTTCTCAGCATCAATGTATGATAGTATGCATGGAATATTGCCAACAAGGGAAGGTCACCCAAGCCTATGTGTTTAAGAGTTTTTATTGGGTCTCGTGGTTGATTACCTACATGGAAAGTCTTAGTCTCCAGTCTCTCCAGAAGTGACCCAAAGCTCCCAGCCTATTCAGTGTGGCCAGCCTACTCCTAAATCATATTATGAGACTCTCCAGTGACCTAAGGCCATAGGAAAATAATGACACTCCTGTTGAACATGGCATCCCATTAGGCTTAGAGATACCTCTCTTTGGGTAAGGGTAATTCTTTACTGTACCACCCTTGTATAAATTTCTACTTTCTTTCCAGGGTTGTTATAATTTGACTTTGTCTTATAAAAGGAGCATCTTAACATTTTGGAGTTAGACTCTAGTGCCCCTTTCTATGTCTGAAGAAGGAATCTTTCCTGTGGAAGACTTTTGGTGAAATACACTAAGTGATGATCTGTCCTGCTGTTTGATCTACTAGTCATTTCAGGGCATATTAGCAACTGTGCCAGTAGATCACAAGCTGGGGTGGAAACAATATTCTGAATAATTGGTTCTGTTTGTTAATACAGCCAAGGTCGGGGTAACAACTGACTTGCAAATGAGTCTGAGGATGTAGTCCACAAATTGGAAGCTACAGTTTAGTGTAGGTAATCTTTAGAATAAAAGGGGAGAAAAAAGATAAAAATAGTATATATTAGTATGACAAAAAAGCATGTGTGCCCTTTTTTTTTTCCTGAAAGAATTCACAGTATAAATTGAGAAGTATAGGTACTTTGAATGTCAATTGTAGGACCACTTTTGACTTTGTTAGTACCAGATTAAAATCTGTCCAAATTGGGGGTGTGGTAGAACTACTCAGTGGTAGAACATGTGCTTTAATACACATGAGGCTCTGGGTTCAGTTCCTAACACACTCACACACAAAAAGGCTGTGAGATGCTGTAATTTAGTAATCATCAATTTAGTCATACCCAGAGGTGCTCTTTGTAAACAAGGATTATAAGCAGAGTTGAGACATGTAAGCTAGAAATAGCTGCTGATAATTTGCTTCTCTCTCTCCAACAAACCTACCCTTTGCTCTCTTGCTTCTCATTCACTCTCTAATGTCATGCCATCTACAGCAGTGAGTATGTTCTTGGAAAGATTTGTGTAAATTGAATTTTTGCAAATACGTCTTTTCTGTAATTCCTGAAGAAACTCGCCATCAATATAATTCTGTTGAATCATTAAGGACAAGTTAACGTCACCTTAAAAAACTGATAATCATCATGAAACATCTTTTGGAATGGGATGGGCTTTTCCACAGAATTGAGTTTTCCAGATAAATAAACCCTTTTTTTTTTAAAGTTTCAAAATTGTTTTATTTTCATCATTTTGACAGGGAGTCTTTGAGAAATGTATGCTTATCCTAGTACTATTACTACTACTTTTTTTTTTTAATATTTTGTTTTGGTTGTAATTGGACACAATACCTTTTTAAAATTTTTATGTGGTGCTGAGGATCGAACCCACTGCCCCAAATGTGCTAGGCAAGCTCTCTACCACTGAGTCATAACCCCAGCCCCTATCCTAGTACTTCTTAATAAAGAATGTTGTATTTAAGTTTTTACTGGTAATTCATTTGCATGGATTTAGGGAGCTCTGCCTTCCCCTGTGTCTTGAGGTCCTACTCCAGCATATAATTGCAGGAGCATTTACTTAAATAGTTTCATGAGTTACTGTTGTTTTATATCTCTAGAGGGCATATGGGGAGCTTTTCATATCGTTGATTCCAGCCAGCCCTTTTTTTTTTTTTATCTTAAATGTTTATTTTCTAACCAAGAACCTTCAATTTCTTAGACCTCTTCACATCTGTTAACAATTCTAATAGCTGCCTTTTTAAATCAGTCATTATTGTTAAGAAGGAACGTTTTTATTATTTTGCTTGTATCTTGAGTACATGACCATCTATAAGTTACATCAAAACCAAATTCCAATGTAGCTGCTGGGCAGCCAGCCAGGCTCATTTTACCCCAAGTAAAATGCTCCCTATACAGCTTCACCATATGTTATATTCAGAATCATGTCTCTGCAAATTACATATGATAAATCCTTGGAGCCACTCAGATATAATTAAAACCACAGTAATAAAACTTAAAAGACTAAAGATGTACCATTTTCTACTTTGCTACAGTTCAGTAACATTGCGAGGAGTGCTCTTGAGGGTCTAGAGCTGTTTGCCCCTACTATAAATGGCACCAAACTATAACCTATTTTCAGTTCTATGTCTGCTCTTTGTATCTGCACCATTGTCAGATGACAACTCCTCTTTGCTTTGCATACCTTTAGCAGCCCCTTTTTCATTCAGACTTTATAATTCCTAACCTGCTGTGAGTTTGGAGAACAGGGCACAATTATTAGAATTGTATTTGCATGAAAAGTCATTAAACAGGAGGTCCTGTTGTAAGTAAAGCACATTAATTTGTTGGCTATTGTGGTATACAACTGTTGTCTCCGCTATATAAGAGGCTGAGTGAGGCAAGAGGCTTGTAAGTTCTAAAGATGAAGCCCCATGCTTGTGTGAGTCCCTGGGTTCAGTCCCCCATGGGGCAGGGGAAAGTGCACATTAATGTAATTGGGCAAGTTCCACACTAGTGAAGTTGATAATAAATAAATGACTGTTATATTTGGCATTACACTAAAGAGTGTTGTTTACTTACTCCTAAAGTAGTTATTGTTTCTTTTTCTCTTCCTATAGGAGCTTCCATGTACCAGTCTCAAAAGTGAAGGTATGACTGGGAAGGGTCATGAAAGAATTTACTGGGATGAAGATAATGCTTTGCATCTTAATAGGGGACTGAGTTATGTGTTTGTCAAAATTCAGCAAAGATACACTTAAGATTAGTACATTAAATTGTATAACTTTTACCTCAAAAGGAAAAGAAATCACGAATTGCAGTTAATGAATTGCTAAAAATTTAGGCTAAGTATACTCATGTCTACAGCATACTTTGAAATTTTTTTTTCCAAATATTTATTTATTTATTTATTTATTTATTTATTTTTAATTTTTTTTTTCCTAATCTTTATTTTTTTTTTAATTTTTTATTGTTGGTTGTTCAAAACATTACATAGTTCTTGATATATCATATTTCACACTTTGATTCAGGTGGATTATGAACTCCCATTTTTACCCCATATACAGATTACAGAATCACACCAGTTACACATCCATTGATTTACATATTGCCATACTAGTGTCTATTGTATTCTGCTGCCTTTCCTGTCCTCTACTATCCCCCCTCCCCTCCCCTCCCCTCTTCTCTCTCTACCCCCTCTACTGTCATTCATTTCTCCCCCTTGTATTATTTTTCCCTTTCCCCTCACTTCCTCTTGTATGTACTTTTATATAACCCTGAGGGTCTCCTTCCATTTCCATGCAATTTCCCTTCTCTCTCCCTTTCCCTCCCACCTCTCATCCCTGTTTAATGTTAATCTTCTTCTCATGCTCTTCGTCCCTACTCTGTTCTTAGTTACTCTCCTTATATCAAAGAAGACATTTGGCATTTGTTTTTTAGCGATTGGCTAGCTTCACTTAGCATAATCTGCTCTAATGCCATCCATTTCCCTGCAAATTCTATGATTTTGTCATTTTTTAATGCAGAGTAATACTCCATTGTGTATAAATGCCACATTTTTTTTTTATCCATTCGTCTATTGAAGGGCATCTAGGTTGGTTCCACAATCTTGCTATTGTGAATTGTGCTGCTATGAACATCGATGTAGCAGTGTCCCTGTAGCATGCTCTTTTTAGGTCTTTAGGGAATAGACCAAGAAGGGGAATAGCTGGGTCAAATGGTGGTTCCATTCCAGGTTTTCAAGAAATCTCCATACTGCTTTCCAAATTGGCTGCACCAATTTGCAGTCCCACCAGCAATGTACAAGTGTACCCTTTTCCCCACATCCTCGCCAGCACTTGTTGTTGTTTGACTTCATAATGGCTGCCAATCTTACTGGAGTGAGATGGTATCTTAGGGTGGTTTTGATTTGCATTTCTCTGACTGCTAGAGATGGTGAGCATTTTTTCATGTACTTGTTGATTGATTGTATGTCCTCCTCTGAGAAGTGTCTGTTCAGGTCCTTGGCCCATTTGTTGATTGGGTTGTTTGTTATCTTATTGTCTACTTTTTGGAGTTCTTTGTATACTCTGGATATTAGGGCTCTATCCGAAGTGTGAGGAGTAAAGATTTGTTCCCAGAATGTAGGCTCCCTATTTACCTCTCTTATTGTTTCTTTTGCTGAGAAAAAACTTTTTAGTTTGAGTAAGTCCCATTTGTTGATTCTAGTTATTAACTTTTGTGCTATGAGTGTCCTACTGAGGAATTTGGAGCCCGACCCCACAGTATGTAGATCGTAGCCAACTTTTTCTTCTATCAGACGGCGTGTCTCTGATTTGATATCAAGCTCCTTGGTCCATTTTGAATTCACTTTTGTGCATGGCGAGAGAAAGGGATTCAGTTTCATTTTGTTGCATATGGATTTCCAGTTTTCCCAGCACCATTTGTTGAAGATGCTATCCTTCCTCCATTGCATGCTTTTAGCCCCTTTATCAAATATAAGACAGTTGTAGTTTTGTGGATTGGTTTCTGTGTCCTCTATTCTGTACCATTGGTCCACCCGCCGGTTTTGGTACCAGTACCATGCTGTTTTTGTTACTATTGCTCTGTAGTATAGTTTGAAGTCTGGTATCGCTATACCGCCTGATTCACACTTCCTGCTTAGCATTGTTTTCGCTATTCTGGGTCTTTTATTTTTCCATATGAATTTCATGATTGCTTTCTCTATTTCTACAAGAAATGCCGTTGGGATTTTGATTGGCATTGCATTAAACCTATAGAGAACTTTTGGTAATATCGCCATTTTGATGATGTTAGTTCTGCCTATCCATGAACAGGGTATATTTTTCCATCTTCTAAGATCTTCTTCTATTTCTCTCTTTAGGGTTCTGTAGTTTTCATTGTATAAGTCTTTCACCTCTTTTGTTAGTTTGATTTCCAAGTATTTTATTTTTTTTGAGGATATTGTGAATGGAGTGGTTGTCCTCATTTCCATTTCAGAGGATTTGTCGCTGATATACAGGAATGCCTTTGATTTATGCGTGTTGATTTTATATCCTGCCACTTTGCTGAATTCATTTATTAGCTCTAATAGTTTCTTTGTAGACCCTTTTGGGTCTGCTAGGTATAGAATCATGTCACCTGCAAATAGTGATAATTTAAGTTCTTCTTTTCCTATTTTTATGCCTTTAATTTCTTTCGTCTGTCTAATTGCTCTGGCCAGTGTTTCGAGAACTATGTTGAACAGAAGTGGTGAGAGAGGGCATCCCTGTCTTGTTCCAGATTTTAGAGGGAATGCCTTCAATTTTTCTCCATTCAGAATGATGCTAGCCTGAGGCTTAGCATAGATTGCTTTTACAATATTGAGGTATGTTCCTGTTATCCCTAGTTTTTCTAGAGTTTTGAACATAAAGGGATGCTGTACTTTGTCGAATGCTTTTTCCGCATCCATCGAGATGATCATATGGTTCTTATTTTTAAGTCTATTGATGTGGTGAATAACATTTATTGATTTCCGTATATTGAACCAGCCTTGCATCCCAGGGATGAATCCTACTTGATCATGGTGCACAATTTTTTTGATATGTTTTTGTATCCGATTCGCCAGAATTTTATTGAGGATTTTTGCATCTAGGTTCATTAGAGATATTGGTCTGTAGTTTTCTTTCTTTGAAGTGTCTTTGTCTGGTTTAGGTATCAGGGTGATGTTGGCCTCGTAGAATGAATTTGGAAGTTCTCCCTCTTTTTCTATTTCCTGAAGTAGCTTGAAAAGTATTGGTATTAGTTCCTCTTTAAAGGTTTTGTAAAACTCTGCTGTATACCCATCCGGTCCTGGGCTTTTCTTAGTTGGTAGTCTTTTGATGGTTTCTTCTATTTCCTCAATTGATATTGGTCTGTTTAGGTTGTCTATATCCTCCTGACTCAATCTAGGCAGATCATATGACTTAAGAAATTTATCGATGCCTTCACTATCTTCTAATTTATTGGAGTATAAGGATTCAAAATAATTTTTGATTGTCTTCTGTATTTCTGAAGTGTCTGTTGTGATATTGCCTTTTTCATCCCGTATGCTAGTAATTTGAGTTGTCTCTCTTCTTCTCTTCGCTAGCATGGCTAAGGGTCTGTCGATTTTGTTTATTGTTTCAAAGAACCAACTTTTAGTTTTGTCAATTTTTTCAATTGTTTCTTTTGTTTCTATTTCATTAATTTCAGCTCTGATTTTAATTATTTCTTGCCTTCTACTTCTTTTGCTGTTGTTTTGCTCTTCTTTTTCTAGGATTTTGAGATGAAGTATGAGATCATTTATTTGTTGGTTTTTTCTTTTTTTAAGGAATGAACTCCAAGCAATGAATTTTCCTCTTAGAACTGCTTTCAATGTGTCCCATAGATTCCGATATGTTGTGTCTGTGTTTTCATTTATCTCTAAGAATTTTTTAATTTCCTCCTTGATGTCTTCTATAACCCATTGATCATTCAGTAACCTATTGTTCATTCTCCAAGTGATGCATGCTTTTTCCTTCCTTCTTTTATCGTTGATTTTCAGTTTCATTCCATTATGATCAGATAAGATGCATGGTATTATCTCTACTCCTTTATATTGTCTAAGAGTTGCCCTGTGATATAATATATGATCTATTTTTGAGAAGGATCCATGTGCTGCTGAGAAAAAAAGTGTAACTGCTTGATGTTGGGTGGTATATTCTATATATGTCAATTAAGTCTAGGTTATTAATTGTGTTATTGAGTTCTATAGTTTCCTTATTCAACTTTTGTTTGGAAGATCTGTCCAGTGGCGAGAGAGGTGTGTTGAAGTCTCCCATGATTATTGTATGGTGGTCTATTAGACTCTTGAACTTGAGAAGAGTTTGTTTGATGAACATAGCTGCACCATTGTTTGGGGCATATATATTTATGATTGTTATGTCTTGTTGTTGTATGGTTCCCTTAAGCAATATGTAGTGTCCCTCTTTATCCCTTTTGATTAACTTTGGCTTGAAATCTATTTTATTTGATGTGAGTATGGACACTCCTGCTTGTTTCCGAAGTCCATATGAGTGATATGATTTTTCCCAACCTTTCACCTTCAGCCTATGTATGTCTTTTCCTATCAAATGCATCTCCTGTAGGCAGCATATTGTTGGGTCTTGTTTTGTGATCCATTCTACTAGCCTGTGTCTCTTAATTGGTGAGTTTAAGCCATTAACATTTAGGGTTATTATTGAGATATGGGTTGTTCTTCCAGCCATATTTGTTTATTTCTGTTACTAAACATGGTTTGTTTTCCTCTTTGATTATTTTCCCCCCCTTTACTGTCCTACCTCCCACTGTTGGTTTTCATTGTTATTTTCCATTTCCTCTTCCTGTAATGTTTTGCCGAGGATGTTTTGAAGAGATGGTTTTCTAGCTGCAAATTCTTTTAACTTTTGTTTATCGTGGAAGGTTTTAATTTCATCTTCCATCCTGAAGCTTAATTTCGCTGGATACACAATTCTTGGTTGGAACCCATTTTCTTTCAGTGTTTGAAATATGTTATTCCAGGATCTTCTAGCTTTCAGAGTCTGTGTTGAAAGATCAGCTGTTATCCTGATTGGCTTACCCCTAAATGTGATCTGCTTCCTTTCTCTTGTAGCTTTTAAAATTCTCTCCTTATTCTGTATGTTGGGCATCTTCAT